TTCCAGGAAGAGGAAGAGGAAGGTGGTGGGGGGATCTGTGCTCTGGTATGCTCTGTGTGCTCAGAACCAGAGCAAACCACTCTGGATGATTCAGGAAGGATGTATCCAAAGATATTGCAGGACTCATATAGTCCTTGAAAAGGCTGGGAACGGAGCAAAGGTGGCTCAAATCAATAATCCTGGCTACTGAGGAGGCTGAGATCAAAGTCAGCCCAGGGAAGACAAATCTGTGAGACTCTTATCTCCAATTAACACACACACACACACACACACACACACACACACAGCTGAAGTGGAATTGTGGTGGTAGAGTGCCAGCCTTGAGCAAAAAAGCTAAGCAAGAGCAAGGAGGCCCAGAATTTAAGCCCTAGTACTGGCATGAGAGAAGGAGAGGGAGGGGAGGGGGGAGTGAGAAAAAAAACAAAGCAAGATATATGGGGCTATCTGTGTTGTCTTCAAGTGGCAGAAGAGATTTATATGTAAGAGAGGTCTATTTGCCAGGTGCTGGTGTCTCTCGTCTATAATCCTGGCTACTCAGAAGGATAAGATTTGAGGATCACAGTTCAAATCCCCCTGGGCAGAAAAGTCCCTATGAGACTTTTATCTCCAATTAACCACTCAAAAACCAGAAGTGGTGCTGTGGCTCAAAGTGGTCGAGCACTAGCCTTGAGCAAAAGAACTCAGGGACAGCACCCAGGCTCTGAGTTCAAGCCCCACAATTGACCAAAAAAAAGGGGGGGGGGGTTGTCTTTCACTCAGAGCCCAACAGGACCTGTTCCAATGATGGTCTCTACAAGAAATCAGAGTTTACCTCCATCTAGGAATATTGAAGAGTCAGAGAGGTAGTGAGTACCCCATCATTAGACGCATCCAAAAAAGCCGGTGGACCCTTTGACAGAGGTTGGAAGGGAGGGAAGGTAGAACTGAAAGGTCCTGGCAACTCGGGGACACTGTTATTACGCCTTCTCCCCCTCTGATCCGAATCGTCTACTTGGCCTGAGGAAACAGATATCAATCCTGATAGATCCGGGAGAGAATGTGTAATGGCCTCCCAGCCTTCATTTATTTTATTTTATTTATTTATTTCGCCAAGCCTGCATTTTATTAAAGCCTGGACCCTATTTATCCTCATCACGTTAGCCCGGCAGCGGGCTGGTTCATTATTCTCACTCAGCAAACACAGAAAGGGGGAGGAATGGGCCTCAGAACGGCCCCAGCTGGGAAGAGAGAGAAAGAAGAGGAAGCAATTCGGGCACTGAAAAATGTGGCTTGCTTTTCTAAAGTCAAAAAGGGGATTTTTGTCACTCAGTCAAGTTAGAGAAAGGCCCATATTAGGAGTAATGAATTCCAGTGAGGGAACTCGCATGACGATCACATCTGTCAAATATATTTTTGTGTTTTTTTTTAAATGCCAGTACTGGGGATTAAACTACTCAGGGCCTGGGTGCTGTCTCCCAGCTTTTTTACACAAGGCCAGCACTCTACCACTTGAGCCACAGTTCCACTTTTGGGCTTTTTTTTTTTTTTGGGGGGGGGTGTTGTTCATTGGAGACAAGAGTCTCATAAACTTCACTGTCAGGCTGGTTTTAAATCTTTTGGGGCGGGGAGGGGTTTGGTTGTGGGGCTTGAACTCTGGACCTGGGCATTGTTCCTCAGCTCTTCAGCTCAAGGCAAGCACTTTACCACTTGAGCCACAGCTCCACTTCCAATTTTCTGGTGGTTCATTGGAGATAAGAGTCTCATGAACTTTCCTGCCCAGGCTGGCTTTGAACGGTGATCCTCAGACCTCAGCCTCTTTTTTTTTTTTTTTTTTTTTTTTAAAAGGTGGCGATTAAGGCAGCCTAGTGGACGGTGGGATTTTCTTTTTTTTTTTTTATTTTTTTATTTTTTATTTTTTTTTATTTTTGCTTATGTGGTGCTGAGGAATCGAACCCAGGGCCTCTGACACACAAGGCAAGCGCTCTACCACTGAGCCACCTTCCCAGCCCCAGACCTCAGCCTCTTAAGTAACTAGGATTCCAGGCAGGAGCCACCTGTGCCCAGCTGGCTTTAAATCTTGATCCTCAGTTCTCAAGTAGCTAGGATTACAGGTGTGAGTCACCAGTGTGAAGCTGCTGCTGCTTTCTCTTCCTCTTTTTCTTCTCCTTTTCCTCCTCTTCCTCCTCTTTTTTCTTCTCTCCTCCTTTTCTTCCTCCTCTTCCCCTCCATTCCTCCTCCTCCTCCTCATTGGAGAGTACAGGATTGGTGAGCCCACCAGCCCACTCTCCAGACCCTCCCTGTCTTTCCCCTTTTGCAGTACTGTGCAGGAGTCTTGCTCCCTCAGGCCTCACTCATCTCCCTCATCCTGCTCTCTGGCTGGAGCTACCTCCAGCCTCACTTCCTACCTTTCCCGTGCTTACCATCTCTTCCACAGGGTTCTGCTTTCTGCTTATTTTTTTTAAAGTATTGTTATTATAAAGGTGATGTTCAGAGGTGTTACAGTTACTTAAGTCAGGTAGTGAGTACATTTCTTTTTTGATAATATTACTCCTTCCCTTGCTCTCTCCCAGTGTTTCCCGCCCACAAGTTGTAGAGTTCGTTTTCAACATAGTGTCCAGTGAGGGACCACTGCTGCATTTGTTCACCTTTGGTCCCTCTATTCCTGTGCCTCACCTTATCTCCCAAACACAGATAAATAAGACAAAAAAGAAAAGATAATGAAAATAACGAAGAAAAAAAATCCATGGTTTCCATTGCAAGGAGTTCATTTCGATAAATATTATTTCGTGTGATCAGAGGCTCATAGGCATTGTGCCTTTGTGTTCCTCTCCTAAGAGTGTCCTCCTTTGGTTTCACTGCGTGCGTGATGTCTAGAGTCCTGTATACTTTATCCTGTCCCGGTGTATTTTAGATCTAGCTCCCGTATATGAGAGAAAACATGCACCGTTTGTCTCCCTGAGCTTGGATTATCTCACTTAACATGATTTGTTCTAGGTTCATCCATTTCCCTGTAAATGGCATATGCTCTTTGCTTCTTAATGGGTGATCTTTGCGGTTTGGAAAATCCTATTCTTTTCCAGAGCACACTCTCATGGGCTCACTCTGTGGGGAGGGCTGGCTATAGACCAGATGGATACCTATGTCCCCAAAAAATCCATATGCAAAAATCCTGAACCTAATATGATGGGAGTTGGGAGGAGGGAGCTTTGACACAGGATTATTAGATGAGGAGTGGAATAAGACCTGTTTGATCCATGCCAAAGTGGGTAAAGCAAGAGACAGGGGGTGTAATTCAATAGCAGAGTACTTACATAACATGTGTAAGGCTCTGGGTTGTATTCCCAGCACTTAAAAAAAAAAGCCAAATTGGGATAAAGCAGAAAGAAACAAATGAAGAAACCACAAAACAAAAGGAGAAACAAACAAACAAACAAAAAAATCAAGGTCAAGTATAATCTTGAAGTGTCCACTAGGTGGAGCCAGACCCCTGCATTCAGGGGCTCCCCAGTTTTCTTCCAGTGAAGAGCTTGAATCTGTTTCATCCTGAAAGATTGAGAAATTTCATTCGCCATCTCATGCATTGTAAATCTTCAGCAAGTTTTCACAGTGCATGAGAATAAATGTGCCAGGTATGCGGATGCATCACTAAAGGTCATACTTGTGAGCACTGTAATGATAAAGTCTGCCACCAGCTTCTCTGCTTCAGAAACAAATCTCAATGCACTGACTTCATTCCATTCACCTATCCCTACCCAGGAACCAAGATGTCATCTTTCCTGTTCTTCCTCACATAATTATTTGGCCTGAACTCTGTGAGAACTTTGGGAATGCTGGAATGGAGAGACAGTATAGAGAAGACAAACGTGTGACTTGTGATTATTCAGCCTCATCTGTGCGGTGACAGCTAGAAGAGCCCGAATCCATGCTCATAATCCTTTGATTCTTGGGTTCTCATGATGGGGAAGAGCAGAGGGTTCCCAAGTCCATCCTTCCTCTGCTTCTTTAAACACTGTCCACGTCCTTCTTCCCCCAGATAGCTCTGTGAACGCCACCTAGTGGTAAAGATGGGACTGAGTTCTTCATGACTGGTTAGGGAAAGCCTTTACTTTTCTCGGGCACATTTCTGTCTTTCCTTCCAAAAGAGCAGTTCAGGTACAGAAGAAACTAGGTAGGAATACAGTCAAAAGACCCAGGCTCCGCCACCCAACTTACCCTTCATGATGTGTGGATTTAGGTCAGCCACTACCTTTTCCTGGGCCTCTCTCTTCTCATCTGTGCTACATTAAATATGGTCATAGAAATTGTGTTTTAATTTTTTGTGCTGATAACTGGCTTAACCATTATTACATACCTGTAATCCTAGCTACTCAGATCTCAGCCTACTGAGTAGCTAGGATTACAGGTGTGAGCTACAGGCACCTGGCTGAGAGTCAAATCTTGATGAGAAGGTTTAAGCCCCTGCTCCAGTTATTTATATCTTTAGACTCTTGAATTATCCTAGCATAGAAACTGCATTTACTGTCTACAATGGTTACAACCTGTCGTTACAGGAGAATTGATGATTGAATAATGATTAACTACCAAAACACTGTGTGGCACAAAGGAAAAGACCCTATCGTGGGAGTCATGACTCTAGACAAGGGTGCTACCTTCCTTGGACTTCAGTTTAGCAGGCTTATTCTGTTGATTTGTTCAGTAACTCTTGACACCTGTTGTGCCAGGCTCTGTTCACTGTGAATAATGAACAGCTCATAGCCACATGAGAATGGAAATCCAGTTCAGGTCTAGGAAAATAAAGTGTCACCTCTGGACACTCGATGGTGCTACTGTAAAGTCTGTTCAAGAGTTCAAGACCAGACCCGGCTGGAATTCCAGGAAACGCCTCGGGGGTTGCCCCGCCCACTCCGCGATGTCCCCGCCCACTCCGCGATGTCCCCGCCCACTCCGCGCAGATCCCGCCCCTGCCCCGCCCCCTTCCCCGCCGGCGCCGGCGAGTGACGTCAGAGCCCGCGCCTGCGCCTTGCCGGAAGTCCACGGCCGCTGTCTGGTGGTGGCTGATCTCCTTCGACCACGCCTGAGACCCTCCGAAGCCGAGCACCATGAACCGCAGCCGGCAGGTGACGTGCGTGGCCTGGGTCCGCTGCGGCGTGGCCAAAGAGACGCCGGACAAGGTGAGGCGTGGCCGCGTGGGCTGGGTCCCAGCCTCGGGCCCCTGCTCGCCGGCTCTGCCCCGGCCCCTGCCCCGGCCCGGCCCCGGCCCTGCCCCGGCTCTGCCCCGGCTCTGCCCCGGCCCCTGCTCGCCGGCTCTGCCCCGGCCCTGCTCGCCGGCCCTGCCCCGGCTCTGGCCCGGCCCCTGCTCGCCGGCTCTGCCCCGGCCCTGCTCGCCGGCTCTGGTCCAGCTCTGCCCCGGCCCCTGCTCGCCGGCCCTGCCCTGGCCCCTGCTCGCCGGCCCTGCCCTGGCCCCTGCTCGCCGGCCCTGCCCCGGCCCCTGCTCGCCGGCCCTGCCCTGGCCCCTGCTCGCCGGCTCTGGTCCAGCTCTGGCCCGGCCCTGCCCCGGCTCTGCCCCGGCCCCTGCTCGCCGGCTCTGGTCCAGCTCTGGCCCGACCCTGCCCCGGCCCTGCCCCGGCCCTGCCCCGGCTCTGCCCCGGCCCTGCCCCGGCTCTGGCCCGCCTGTCTTGACGGAGCCGCGGCTTCGAGGATCTGGGTCTCCTGGGCCTGAGGAGTCAGGACCCCGCCTCCGACCTGTACCCCCAGCCAGGCCGCACCCCCAAACTCGCGAGCCGGAGGGGTGGGGCGCGGCCGGGCGGGAAAGGTGGCCCGGGGCTCCTTGTGGGGGTGTAGCCGGGAAAAGTGGGGCGAATCCTACCCCCGCCCCGGCCTGTGCCCTGCGGCGCAGAAAACCGGGTTTGGGAGGCTGCCTGCCTTATGCGGGCCCGAGCCAGATTAACAATGCCTAGCTCAGCCACCCAGGAGGCTGAGATCTGAGGATCACGGTTCAAAGTCAGCCCGCGCAGGAAAGTCCGTGAGACTCTGATCTCCAATAAAACCACTAGAAAACCAGAAGTGGCGCTGTAGCTCAAATGGTAGAGCGCTAGCCTTGAGGAGGGGGAAAAAAAAAGCTCACGGACAGCGCCCAGACCCTGAGACCCTGGGTTCAGGCCCCAGGACTCGCGCGCGCGCGCACACACACAGACACCACACACACACAACACGGAAACCTTGCAGTAGTCCGTATTGATGGGGCAGGAAGTATGAAAGAAAAACCTCCAGGAGTTGGAGACTGAGTCCAAGCAGAGGTGAAGGGTTACTTGTTCATCAGACTTACGCCTTCTATTCATGTCAAGCATTGTCAGGGTCAGAAGACAGGCATGAACGAAACAGCCTTGCCCTTCGTAGAGTTGACATGTGCGTATATATTGTGTCTGAAATTAAGGGTCATAAAAGAGGAGAGGGGCTTTGCATGTGTTTCACTGGGACAATAATGGCAGAGCAGGCTGCAGGAATGCAGCAGTTGATTGTAGTCCCAGTAGATGTGAGTTTATTATTATTACTGTTCCTTCGTTGTTTTGTGTGGACCATACCAGGTCTTGAACTCTGGGGCTTGGCTCTTGCTTGGCTTAATTGCTCACTGATGATGCTCTCCAATTTGAGCCACACCTCCAGTCCATCTTTTTGCTGGTTAATTGAAGATGGATTCTTGCAGACTTTTTCTGGGCTGGCTTTGAACCTAGATCCTCTATATTTCAGCCTTTTGAATAGTTAGGATTTACAGGCCTGAGCCACCAGTACCCAGCTCAGACTGTTTCTCTGGTGTTTGGCCTGCAGCAGGAACTCATTGCCTGTTTATAGAATAGGGACAAAACATCTCAAAATTGGTCGAAGGAGAAAGTGGTTCTCATTAAAAAGGGACATATAATCTTTCAATTACTTGAAGACAGTGATTTCCAGATGAAAATAGGAGGTTTTTTTTTTGGGGGGGGGTTGTTTTGTTTTGTTTTGTTTTGGGGTCCAGTCGTGGGGCCTGAACTCTGGGCCTGGGCCCTGTCCCTCAGCTCTTCAGCTCAAGGCTAGCGCTCTACCACTTGAGCCACAGCGCCACTTCCAGCTTTTTCTGCTTATGTGGTACTAAGGAATCAAAACCCAGTGCCTCATGCATGCAAACAAGCACTCTACCACTGAGCTACCTCCCAAGCCCCTTGAACTCTTATTAAGGTAAAAGGTACCCAAGTGAGAAGCAGATGAAAAAAATATAAGACTAGAGAAGGAAAATTGGGGAGTAATCTGATCTAAAGAAGCAAGGTTTGTTTTGAGACTAAGTGGATACTGCAGTGATTGTAGGGAGCAGAGGTGGTTTGTTCAGGGATGCGCACCAGGAAGAACAGGGGAGGTACATTAGATAACATTTTTTTAAAAAGAAGACGAAATGGACTGCACAGAGCTCCTTTGCAAATCAGTGTGGGTTTTGTTGTTTGTTTTTAAAAACTAAAGAGTAGAATGTGCCTCATATCTAAGTAGGAAGGGGTCTTAAGTGTAAGAACCTGGAACTGGAGCTTTGATTCAAGTTGTAAAACACTAGCCTTGAGCATGAAAGCTTAGGAACAGTGCCCAGACCCTGAGTTCAAGCCCCAGGACCAGCACAAACAAAACAAACTAAAAAAAATACAAAAACAAAAACACAACTCTATTTTTGTTAAATTCAGAGAATTTAGGTCAATCTTTGGTTCTCATCCTGATGTCTCATAAAGTTACAATTTATATTTGTTCAAAGAGTTTTTAATTCAGGGATTTCCAATGATTTCTTTCAGTTCAGCATAATAAAATGTTTGCTTTCTTGTAGGTAGAGCTAAGCAAAGATGAAGTAAAGCGTCTCATTGCTGAAGCAAAGGAAAAATTACAGTAAGTTGAAGAACATTGGTGTCTGGGGTGGAGTCCAAATAAACTGCATATCTTAAATAATTGTGACTAAGCAGGCTTATGGTTGGCCGGCACCATTTGGGTGACATTTTTGCCTTCACTCTCACAGAGAAGAAGGTGGCAGTGAGGAGGAGGAGGTGGGCAGTCCTTCTGAAGATGGCATGCAAAGTGCCCGCACACAGGCACGAGCAAGGGAGCCCCCGGAGGATGGCGGCCCAGAGGAGGACCGCACGCTAGATGATGATGAGCTGGCTGAGTACGACTTAGACAAATACGACGAGGACGAGGACCCAGGTGAGAATCCAGTTGTGCCGCTTTGTCTTCCCAGGCTCAGTGCTTGTGGAATACCAGAGCCTGACTCCGGGTTTTATTGTCCTTGCCATCAGTCAACTAATTCAGCTCAAGATTTGGATGGAAAACATGTTAACTAAACTAGTTTAGAAGATAAGTTTTTTTTTTTTGTTTTGTTTTTTTTGGGGGGGGGGGGCGTCCGGTCATGGGGCCTGAACTCTGGGCCTGGGCGCTGTCCCTCAGCTCTTCAGCTCAAGGCTAGCGCTCTACCACTTGAGCCACAGCGCCACTTCCGGCTTTTTTCTTTTTGCTTATATGGTGCTGAGGAATCGAACCCAGGGCCTCTGGCATGCAAGGCATGCGCTCTACCACTGAGCCACCTTCCCAGCCCCTAGAAGATAAGTTCTGACCAGTTGGTCTAAAATACAAATCTAAAATCCAAGTGTTGTATGTTCTTTTTCATATAGCAGATATAATCATCTGAGGAGTCCTTGTATGCAGTTGTAATTGAAACTTATCTTTATGACTTTCTTTTAAGTACAGTCATGTTTTTCAGCATTACATTCTGAAAGGTAGTCATTGCACCACTATTGTTGAAACAATTAGAAAAAGAGAATTCCAAAGGCTTGGAATGTGGGTTAGTGGTAGAGTGCTTTCCTAGCATGCAGGAAGCTCTGGGTTTGATTCCTCAGTACCACATAAACAGAAAAGGCCAGAAGTGGCACTGTAGCTCAAATGGTAGAGTGCTAGCCTTGAGCAAAAGAAGCTCAGGGACAGTGTCCAGGCCCTGAGTTCAAGCCCCAGGATTGGCAAAAAGAAAAAAGAAAAAGACAGCTCCAGGTGTGAAGAGGAAAGGGAGGTAAAAAGGAAAGGAAGAAGTCTAGTAGAAAGTCTTAGAAGAAATAAAATAAACCAAGAAGATATATACAACTGTATTGTCCTTTGGGAAAGGGGATGGCAAACACTGGGTGAACTTGCTTTGTGGTCTTCTATCAGTGCCACCCAAAAGAAATAATTATTCAGGTTGAGAAATAGGTATTCAGTCTTGGCACTTGAGAACCTGTTAAAGAAGATATTCATATAACTTCCAAATCTATACATCTTTGGGACCTGGTGCAACTCCTTTGACAGAATCAGCAGTTCTCAGCTTAGAAAACCAGAAACAACTTGGAGAACATTAGCTCATTATAAAGATAGTCCACAGCAAAAGAATCAGGCTCACCTCACTGACTGGAAGGGAAGCTGTCCAGGGGTTTCTGGAGAGCGAGTGAGGGTAAATCCAAGTATGCCATTCACTAGGGGAAATAAAGAGGAGAGTGTACAGCATTCTCTCTTAGATCCATATGGCTCATTAATATATCAGCAGTTCTGTCAACACTTGGAATAAAGCATTCTGGTCAACCTTGTGAAACCCATCATTTCTCAATTTTGACCATGCGCCCCTTATTTATTTTACTGATTTTAGGGTTTCTGGACTTTTCTCTAGAGAACCTTGAGTCATGATTGCCTGGAAAAGGCAAGAGAATCTAAGCAGAGTTACTCATATTTTCTAAAAAAGCCTTAATTCTTTCATTGGAGCATTGTAGCTTCTGAGACCGACAGAAATGCATTCCAAAGGTCAAATAGAATGGCTCTTAAATATGCTCACTACTTTCTTTCCCAGCTATCGATGGTGCAGTTAGTTACGAATTAGATAGTTGCTCTAAGTCCAAAGACGGGCTTGGAAATATTTTTGTCAAGATGACCATTTTACTCATTTTGATTGATGAAATCTTATCATAGATGCTGAGACTCTTGGTGAATCTCTCATGGGTCTTACAGTCTATGGAAGTAATGATCAAGATCCTTATGTCACCCTGAAAGACACGGTAAATGTTCATGTTGCTTTTCTAATTACTCCCTTACATGTTGGCTGAACCATATTTGACCTCTGTCTCTAGCTAATGACTTTTTTTTCTTACCTCCTTAGGAACAATATGAACGTGATGATTTCTTGATTAAGCCCAGTGATAACCTCATAGTTTGTGGCCGAGCTGAACAGGAACAGTGCAATTTAGAGGTTCATGGTAAGTAAAATTAAGTCCCCTACCAGAAGGCTTTCTAAGTGATGGTAACATAATTGCAGTGTTGCTGTTCAGACATTTTAGGTGCTAGATCCTGCCTTTCCCCAGGTCAGTTGGTTATACAGTTAATTTTACACAGCTGTCCTTTTCTGCTTATTGCTCTGGGCACATCAAATCTAAGATTGTGTTTTCTTGTTTTGGCTGGACATGTAAAGTCTAAGATCTTTTTTTGGCAGTACTCAAGATTGAACTCAGAGCTTTGTACTTGCTAGGCAGGTGCTCTACTACTTGATCCATACCCTTTTCCAGTGGTTATTTTCTTTTTTTTCTATTTTTTCTATTTTTCTTTTTTTTGAGGGGTGAGGGGGGTCCGGTCGTGGGGCCTGAACTCTGGGCCTGGGTGCTGTCCCTCAGCTCTTCAGCTCAGGGCTAGCGCTCTACCACTTGAGCCACAGCGCCACTTCCGGCTTTTTTCTTTTTGCTTATGTGGTGCTGAGGAATTGAACCCAGGGCCTCAGGCATGCAAGGCAAGCGCTCTACCACTAAGCCACCTTCCCAGCCCTCCATTGGTTATTTTCAAAGTTGGGTCTCACTTTATTCCCAGGCCAGCCTGGGCTTCAGTCCTACTCATGGCTTCACATGGGCTGAGGAAGACAGAGTACATCCAGCCATTGTGCTTACTTGTTACCTCTGGGTAATAGGTGTGCGCCACCATGCCCAGACATGAGTTGAGATGGAATGTTTCAAACTTTTTTTTCCCATGGCTGGCCTTGGAACCTCATCCCCATCTCTTACCTCCCAGCTAGCGAGGATTACAAGCTCGAGCCACCATGCCCAACTAGTCTGTTTTTTACCATGGCAATAGACCCCTTAGATATATACAATTAAACAGGGCTTTTTATTATGTAAACATGTTTGCCAAGGTTAAGATTGTACTGGGTACACAGGATTTCTCCTGCTTTTCCAGTCATTTCAAATGCTTCCCCTTTGCAGAGTAGTCCCTTTTCTTCATAATACTTGAACACAGAAGGCCCCAATTCTCTTTTGGGCCCCAGTCCCCACTTCAGGAAGTGTTGGCTCCAAACCCAGTGCCTCCGGAGTTTCTTTTACATGTTTGGTTTTTAATTAACTTTGAAGACTGTTAACAATAAGTTTTGATTAGCTCTTCCATTTCTAAGTATGAATTCTTTTTTACCAATCATTACAGTTTATAACCAAGAAGAAGACTCTTTTTATGTCCACCATGATATTCTCCTTTCTGCATATCCTCTTAGTGTGGAATGGCTGAATTTTGATCCTAGCCCAGATGATTCTACAGGTAATTGGAAAACTTGAAGTTGCAAAAGTGTTTCTAGTCTATGGAGTGAATGAGTGAGTGTGTGAGCGTGTGTGTGTCTGTGTGTGTGTGCGCATGTGTGTGCAAGCTCACGCGCGTGCACATGCATGCGTGGGGTTTGAATTCAGAGCCTGTGTGCTGTTCCTTTCATTACTCTTGAACCACACCTCTGCTTCCACTTCTTATGTTAGCTAATAGTAGATGAGAGTCTCATGGACTTTCCTGTCAAGGCTGGCTTGGAACGTTGATCAGCAAATCTCAGCCTCCTGAATAGCTAAAATTACAGGCATGAGCTGTAGAGTTTCTTAATTTACGTAAATTTTGTGTTTTATATAAGCATATTCAGAATTGTTGCTAGTATTTATAAAGGCACTATCACTTTTCTGAAGTTTTAGTTATGTAGTTTTGTCTACTTTTTTTTCCACCCCTAATGATGATACTGAGGCTTGAACTCAGTAGAGGCTGAGCCCTCTACCTTTGAGTCATGCTTTCAGTGGTTAGGTTGTTACCAACACACCATCACTTAATTATTCAAGGTCTGTATTTGGGTATCCCCAGACTTCAGACTGGCTAAGAGTAGCTGCTCCATTGAAGGCTGAAGAACAAGACCTGGAAGTTTTTGGACTGTACTACTCTAAGGGTCCCATGCAAACAGTTTAAAGTAGCACAACATGTGACCCTTTTTTTTTTTTTTTTTTTTTTGTCAGTCGTGGGGCTTGAACTCTGGGCCTGGGCGCTGTCCCTCAGCTCTTCAGCTCAAGGCAAGTGAGTGCTCTACCACTTGAGCCACAGTGCCACTTCCAGTTTTCTGGGTGGTTTATTGGAGATAAGAGTCTCACAGGCTTTCCTTGTCCAGGCTGGCTTTAAATCGAGATCCTCAGATCTCAGCCTCCTGAGTAGCTAGGATTACAGGCATGAGGCGCCCAGCTTCTGTTTTGTTTTTACAGGTTTCAGATCTTGAACTCAAGACCTGAACTTGTGGCTCAAATGGTAGAGTGCCACACCTGCAGCCTAGCATTTTGCTGATTCATTGGAGGTAGACTCTCACAGACTTTTCTGCTTGGGCTGGCTTTGAACGTCCAACCTCAGCCTCTTGAGTAGCTTGGATTATAGGCGTGAACCACTGACATCTGGAATCCAACTGAGTATAATGTAATAACTTGTCTTAGAAAATTCAAGATAGAATAGAAATGGAGAGGCTTGTCCAAAATAACTAGATTCTCGTGTTAGTCACTTTAGCCTTATCTTGCCCAGTCTATAGTTTTGAATAAAGGCAAACACTGATAATCCTGACATCTTATGTCTTGTTCACTGACTTCTTACGTCTTAAATACTATTCATGTTCACCCTTGCATCCTCATCCTCACAAAAGCTGGAGAAGGAAGAAGAAGGTGGGTATATAGGTAGCAGTAGTTCTCATAATTGAAGCCAAGAGATTGGGCTGTTGTTAGTCAAGTTGAATTGTGACTCTGAAATCAGCAGCATAACATTGCATCACTAGTTACTGATGAAAAATGCAGACTTGAGTCCCCTTAAAATTACCTGAAAGAGAATCTTAAAATGATAGATTTACAAGCCTGAGAAGCACCTCTCTAGCCATCACTCCGCCTACAATAAGTTAGTTTGCTTTTACTCTGTGTAATCACAGCACACTGCTCTTCCTGCAGGAAACTACATTGCTGTGGGAAACATGACCCCTGTCATCGAGGTGTGGGACCTGGATATTGTGGACTCTTTAGAGCCAGTCTTCACGCTTGGAAAGAAGCTTTCGAAAAAGAAGAAGAAGAAAGGAAAGAAGGTAAACAAGTTCAGTATTTAAACCCTAAACACAAGTGGATAGTGTATTGGAGCAGAGAGGTTGAGAGAACATAGATTTCCCAGTCAGACGATCTTGGTGTGACAGGACAGGTGGTTATAATGTCATTGTAATTTCTACTTTCTTTTTTTTTCTTTTTTTTTTGGGGGGGGGGAGGGGTCCAGTCGTGGGGCCTGACCTCTGGGCCTGGGCGCTGTCCCTCAGCTCTCTCTTCAGCTTAAGGCTGGCGCTCTACCACTTGAGCACAGCGCCACTTCCAGCTTTTTTCTTTTTGCTTATGTGGTGCTGAGGAATCGAACCCAGGGCCTCATGCACGCAAGGCAAGCGCTCTACCACTGAGCCACCTTCCCAGCCCCCTGTAATTTCTACTTTCAAAAGAACCAATTTGAAGGAAATTTACTTATGACTACGTAAACCTCTGTTGGCATGTCCAGTTCTAATCTTTCCTCAAAACTGATATACTAGCTTTGAAATTCTGAAAAACAAAAGCTTCTATTTAGCCTTTTCTGTGTTGAATTCTAAATATTCCATGTATTCCCTCTTTTTTTTCTTCTTGCCAGCACTGGGGTTTGAACTGAAAGCTTTGTGCTTGCTAGGCAAATACTCTCCCACTAGAGCCACAATTCTAGCTCCTTGTATCCATTCCTGTAATTCTTAAATTATTAGGTTTTGCAGGAGGTGGGGAGCAATATTAATATTTGTAGGATTAGCAGCAAGTTCAAGAGATGGTTTAATTTCTTCCCTAAAAAGAATGTTTATTGTAGTTACCTAATATAAAAGAGTGTTTCTTTACTTCTGCAGCAGAGTATATTAGAGCAAAGCGTTAAGCCTAGAGTTTAATGAGTCTCGCAAATTTAACAATCACAATTAAAAAAGTAATTAAAGCAATCATTGCAGAGCTCCTCTGCAGAAGGGCATACGGATGCTGTCCTCGACCTTTCATGGAACAAGCTAATCAGGTAAAGAGGAACGACATTTGGATGATTGGAAAACCATTGTATCGTGTTCCTGCCTGTCTGCTTCCATGCTGTGTACCTTTCTTCTTTCCCCCACTTCCTCGTTGCTTGAAGCAACATCTCCATCTCCACATCACCCAGGAGCTCGAGACCAGTCTGCACGCATGGCCTCCACTTCTCCACTTAGATAGACAGCAAGCACCCAGCACCAGTGGTACAACAGCACTGGTTCTTCCAGATCTTTCTCACTTTACTTTGTTTCCAAATCTCATCCATGTCCTCTCCCCTGCCCCTATACATTGTGTAGAAATACACATGGCATTCCCCTGGCACCAACTTTTCAGTTTAGTAACTTTCCGTATCCTCACATCATAGTGCAGCTGTCCCCACCACCACCCCCAGATGTTCCCAGACTGAAGCAGCCCCTGAATCACTGAAGACACTGACTCTTCACCTTCCCTTCCTCCCAGCCCTGGCAGCCACCATTTTTCAGGGTTCATCTGCAGTCTGTATGTCAGACCTAATTCTCTTTGAATGCATATACCACAGTTTGTCCATCAGTAGCCACTGGAGTTGCGTCTGCTTTTGGGATGTTGAGAATAACACTGCTGTGAGTGTGGATGCACAGAGAGCTCACACTGCTTTCATGTCTTCTGGTGATTACTGCAAAGCTTAGAAAAGGTTTTGGGGCTTGTTTTTGTTTTGTTTGTTTGTTTTTGGTCAGTTGTGGGGCTTGAGCTCAGGGCCTAGGTACCATCCCTGGGCTTTTTTCACTCAAGGCTAGCCCTCTACTACTTTGAGCCACAGCGCTACTTCCAGTTTTCTGGTGGTTAATTGGAGAAAAGAGTCTCCCAGACTTTCCTGCCTCAGCTGGCTTTGAATTTCGATCCTCACATGTCTGCCTTCTGAGTATTTAGGATTACAAGCATGAGCCACTGGCACACAAAAATGTGCTTTTATTTTTATTTATTTATTTTTTGGGTGGGGGAGGGTCCGATCGTAGTGCCTGATCTCTTGGCCTGAGCGCTGTCCCTCAGCTCTTCAGCTCAAGGCTAGCGCTCTACCACTTGAGCCATAGCGCCACAAAAGTGTTTTTTTAATGTTTGTTTTCCATAGCTGCTGTACATTCCATATTCCTGCAAGCAATGTATATAGTGTTCTCATTTTTCCATTCTTCCAACATTTCTTTTGCTGCTGTTGTTGGATAATAGTCATCCTAGAGTTTATGAAGTGATATCTCTTGTAGGATTTTTGTTTCATATTATTTGGGGTACTTGTTTTCTTTCTTATTTTCCTTTTTTTTTTTTCCCCCAAGCTGTCCTCAGCTCTTAGGCCCAAGGTAACCTCCTTCCTTGGCCTCCCAAGTAGCTAGGATTGCAGGTCTGTGTGAGTTTGATGTGCATTTCTCATTGATCAATAATATTGAGTAATTTTATGCTTATTGGCCATTGCATACCTTTTCTGGAAAAAATGTCTGTTCAACTCCCTTTCCTATTTTCAAAATGGAATTGTAGGAGCTCCTTCTGGATATTAAAAATGCTAGTCAGAACTAGGATTTAAATACTTTCTCGGAGAAGGCTACAATGCTTAATAAGAAATGTACTCATGCCGGGCGCTGGTGGCTCACGCCTGTAATCCTAGCTACTCAGGAGGCTGAGATCTGAGGATCGCGGTTCAAAGCCAACCCGGGCAGGAAAGACCGTGAGACTCCTATCTCCAATAAACCACCAGAAAACCGGAAGTGGTGCTGAAGCTCAAGTGGTAGAGCGCTCGCCTTGAGCTGAAGAGCTGAGGGACAGCGCCCAGGCCCAGAGTTCAAGGCCCACGACCGACCAAAAAAAAAAAAGAAGAAGAAGAAATGTACTCATTATCTTGCCCATGTAATTGTAACCCCTCTGTACAGTATTTTCACAATAAAAAAAAAAAAGAAGAGAGAAAAAGAAAGAAAATACTTTCTCTCCTAAGTTTCAAGTTTTTCATATTGACAGTGTCCCTATTTATTTTTGTCATTTATGTTTTTGCTCTTACATCATTTTAAAAAAATTGTATAGCTCAAGGTGCTAAAGATTTACACCTGTGTCCTTCAGAAAACTTTATAGCATTAGCCCTTCCGTCTAAGTCTGTGACCCACTTTGAGGTATTTTTGTGTGTGGTAGGCCATGTAGTAGCCTAAAGTTTCTGAGAGGATGTCCTGTTGTCTCCACCACACTGGTTGAATAGACTGTTCTTCCCGATCAGACACTGAATTGTCAGAGGCCAAGGATTATTTCTGGACTCACTTGTTCTTCTGTTCATCTCTAGATCTATCCGTAGGCCAGCAGTACATTGTTGGGATTACTGTAACTTTTCAACAAGTTTTGAAATCAGATAATAGGCTTCCCAACTTTGCTCTTTGTTTTCAGGATTTTTTTTTGTTAGTTATTGAGTCCTTACATTTCTCTAAATTTTTAGAGCTAATTTAATTCTCAATTTTAATTCTGCAGAATGTGGCAGACTGTGGGATTTTGAATGGCAGTAGGTGAATGGGCACCTCAACTCACAGTTCAGTCTGTAGATGCCATGTTACCGCTTCCAGTACAGGAACATGGACTACCTTCTTGATGCTGTGGTAAATGGCATACTTTGCTTAGTGAATCATACTTTGTTTTTAAAAGACAACCTAGTTTGTTTCTTCTCTCTTTTCAGAAATGTGCTGGCAAGTGCATCTGCTGACAGCACTGTGGTTCTGTGGGATATGTCCGTGGGGAAGCCAGCAGCCACCTTAGCTGTGCACACAGACAAGGTGAGGGGACAGAAAGGGGCTACTAATCTCCAACACACATGCAGAGCTTCTCATGGCTTCTACCGTGATTCCATAAAGCCCAGTCTCCATAAAACCCCATTCGGTGCTGGGAGGGACAATGAGTGGAAGATTAGTTTCCTACAACATGTTCACAGAGGGCCCCAAGAAGACAGGCTGTCAGACCCAGCAGTAAGCACTGAAGCCAATCTGTGACCATGGCTGTGGGCTCCCTGGTACAAGCATGTGCTTGCAGTTTACCAAGGCCCTTTAACCACACCGCATTTCTTCTGGACTTCTTTTAACATTTGAGGGTGTTTGGTGCATTATTGTCGATGTCAGCTTTTATTTTGGAACATGTTTTGCCTTTTGAATATGCAACGTTTTACATTTCTTAACACAGACAATACTTTATAGGAAGGGAACAATTTTTATTAACACTGTGAAATCTGTTTTTGCCTAATAATAGGTAATGTTACTAAAAGCAAATGGAGATCTCTCCCCCTTAGGTCCAGACTCTGCAGTTTCATCCATTCGAAGCACAGACATTGATTTCTGGATCCTATGATAAGTAAGGAAGCACACAAGAGTCACTGCTGCTCTGTCCTGATCCTCTTGAATTGGAAAACTATCACTTGCAGTCCCAACCGAAGACATGTGTGAATTGTTAGCACAACTTAGTTTTCCTTTGCAGCTCTGGTCCTTTTGGTCTGCAAAGATCTGGATCTGTCACCACAATGTCTAGCTATGGGATCTAGCAACTGCATTGAGTTTAGAAGATATGTGAGTTCACCATTTTTGTGAAACAGCATCCTAGAAATCATTACTTAACTTAGTAGACAGTGATTCCTTAGACCCTTGTGACATCTCTCTGATCACATTGGCTTGGTTAGCCTGGGCAAAGAGACTTGTTTGTCTGCAAACACAGGCTGAACGAACAGCATGTTCAGGAGCAAAGCAGAGATACCACGACCTCTGGAGATCTACACTCCGAACTAGTTTTATCTTGGCGTGGTTTGGGCTTTTTTGTTGTTGTTGCTGCTGCTACTGTTTTGGGGGTTGGTATGATTTTACTTTTTCTGTTTTTATTTATGGTTTGGGGATTTTTTTGGCTAAAACAGGTCACATGGATTGGAAAATAGACTCTCTACCCTTATGGGAAGAATTCCCACATCACATGATGACAGAAGGCCTATATTTAGGGAGGGGTGAAGAATTGAGGCCTCCCAGGGGCTGACCCCTGTCATGTGCACACCTCCGTGAGGAACTGGAGTGAAAGTGGGAAAGATGGCTGGTAGGATCAGAGAGCAGTAAAGACCGGGTCCTTACCCTTTGGAAAAAATGGAAGTTTATCATCTGTCAGGATGATGGGAGGAGAATTACAGGCATTTCCCTTAGGACCCTCTCCCCCTCCCCCAAGCACAATAGCCTCATTGTGGAGAGTTGTGGCAAAGACATGAATCATGTGGAAAGAGAGGGTTCATCTTGGATATGCAAAGTCAAGCCACCATGAGTGTTCCCAGTGCCTTCAATTGAGCGACAGACCCAGAATCTACCAACTAGTAAAAGGGAGCTCATTTTTTCCTATCTTAAAAACATTATAGAACCTTAAAACCAGCTCTGAATAACTGAACCTTGACTTCACAGTGCTTCTGTTACCATTTCATTAAAAATAAAAACATAGGAAGACTTGAACTCTTCAAAGGCTAACTTGGCCTGACTGTGTCCAGGTCAGTGGCACTGTATGACTGCCGGAGTCCGGATGAAAGCCACCGAGTATGGCGCTTCAGCGGGCAGATCGAGAGAGTCACGTGGAATCACTTCTCACCTTGCCACTTTTTGGTAAGAACATTACACCATGGGTTATTTTTCCAGGGCTCTCACAACTACAGTTCTTTTAATTATACTTTAGAGAGCGTATCAACAAAAAACTTTCTTCTCTGTTAATAATGTGGAGCTTTTGGGTCTTAAGGTTGAAGAAAGGTTTGTCTTTTTCACAAGAGAATGGCTTAGCCATAAAAAGTTAGTGGCTATGTGAGTGATTTTGCTAATTGTCAACTACTCTAGATTAGCTACATTTTATTTTCACTTGCTTTTCATCATTTTATCTGTTTTATGAAATAGTAATCATAATTGATATTGTTTTATTTTGAGACATTTTGTTTATTTTGCAATATGTAGCCCAAGACTGGTTGTGAGCTCAGACTCTTCTTGCCTCTTTCCCTTAGAAAAATATTTTGGGGGGGCTGAGAATGTGGATTAGTGGCGACTGCTTGCCTAGCATGCATGAAGCCCTGGGTTTGATTACTCAGCACCACATAAACAGAAAAGGCCAGAAGTGGCGCTGTGGCTCATGTGGTAGATTGCTAACCTTGAGCAAAAGAAGTTTAGGGACAGTGCCCAGGCCCCGAGTTCAAACCCCAGAACTGGCCAAAAACAAAATATTTTTTTGCCAAGCACCAGTGGCTCACACCTGTAATCCTAGCTACTCAGGAGACTGAGATCTGAGGTTCGCAGTTCAAAGTCAGGCCGGGCAAGGGACGTCTGTGAGACTTTTATCTCCAGTTAACCACCAGAAGACTGAAGTGGCGCTGTGGCACAAGTGGTAAAGCACTTGCCTTGAGCTGAAGAGCTCAGGGACAGTATCCAGGCCCAGAGTTTAAGCCCCACTACCAACAAAAACAAAAATTAATATTTCCATCAGTCCAAGAAGATGCTTTTTTTTTTGAGAGGGGGGGGTAGTCCTGGGGCTTGAACTCAGGGCCTAGGCACTGTCCCTGAGCTCTTCAGCTGAAGGCTAAAGCTCTACCACTTGAGTCACAGCACCACTTCTGGCTTTTTCTGTGTATGTGGTGCTAAAGAATCGAACCCAGGGCTTTATGCATCCTAAGCAAGCACTCTACCACTGAGCCACATTCCCAGCCCCAGAAGATACTTTTAATTTAAATCCTTGTATATGAACCCATCCTTGACTCTGGATCTCTCCCTGTTCCTTCATTCTATCCCTTGTGGTTTTGCTGTTGCTGATTGTGCCAGTACTGGGACTTGAACTCGGGAGCATCAAGCTCTCATGCAGCTGGCCTGCTCATCACTGGTGCTTTTTTGCTGGTAATTTTGTTTGTTTGTTTGTTTTTGGGTCCGGTCATGGGGCCTGAACTCTGGGCCTGGGCGCTGTCCCTCAGCTCTTCAGCTCAAGGCTAGCGCTCTACCACTTGAGCTACAGCGCCCCTTCTGGCTTTTTTCTTTTTGCTTATGTGGTGCTGAGGAATCGAACCCAGGGCCTCTGGCATGCAAGGCAAGCGCTCTACCACTGAGCCACCTTCCCAGCCCCTGCTGGTAATTTTGGAGATGAAGTTTTGGAACTTTTTTGCCTGGGCTGGCTTTGAATATCTATCCCCTGATCTCAGTGTCCAGTGTAGGGTTACAGGCATGAGCCACTGATGCCCAGTACTTCCTTTTCTTGCAAGCCTAATAACCCTGAGCTGATCTGCCTGATTGAACGCCTGCCCCCACATCAGCATCACTGATCCTCACTAAACAAGCCATCTCCGCATCCCCTCATCCCTGTTCCCACACACACACTCCAGATTCACCAGGTGGGCATATCAGCTCCTACCCCAGGAGCTCCGCCCGCCAGGCCGCCCTGCTCTTCAGCGCTTACTTCTCAGTGTCCCCTGTGTCATCTCAAGTGTGACTGGCACCTCAGTGCTTCTACATCTTAACTGTCCTCCCTCCCCAACCCCAGCTGCATCGTAGTGCCACTGCTTAGTGGGCATGTCTGGACTAGTCCACGGGAGTGCACACAGCTCCTCCAAAAGTAAATTCTCTGTGTCCACGTCACTAATAAGCTCCAAGGCAAGTCAGACATGCAGCTGATTTGACTGTGAACTGGTTCCTCAGCCACTGGTAAACTTTGTTGTCACATAGAGGATTGTGCCCTGCTTGTTCTTTCAGGCTAGCACGGATGACGGCTTTGTTTATAATTTGGATGCCCGTTCAGATAAGCCAGTTTTTACACTTAACGCACACAACGACGAAATCTCTGGTGAGCAAAAAGTATTTCTTTCATTTCTGTCAATTTATGATGAAATCTGTATTTCAAAGCAACAAGAGTCACTGAACTCATATCTCCTGTAGGTCTCGATCTGAGCAGTCAGATCAAGGGCTGTCTTGTGACCGCTTCAGCAGACAAATACGTGAAGATTTGGGACATCTTAGGAGACAGGCCAAGCCTTGTGCATTCCAGGGACATGAAAATGGTGAGGAGTTGCCTGTTTTCTATATATTCAGTTTCTTGGCACTCTCTGGGAATCAGTGCATTAAAGAATGTATATTACAGATGTGCTGGGGAAGTTCATTTTGTGCCAAGTCAAGTTTGGTGGGAGATTTATGACTTAGAACAGCTTTAAGAAATTCATTGTGTGGATCCTCTCTACCTCCATACTTAACAGTCATTTGGTAAGACCAAGGGTGGAGTGAGAACCAGGTAGCCACATATTTCACCTTAAAGTCAAGCTTGGACATTAGGACCCTGGAGCTATTGGGTCACTTTACCACTAACTTTTTCTAACTATCTCTGACTATGCTGAAGTTTATTTTATACATACACACACACACAGTAGCAAAACATTAAAAATCCCAGTGACTTTTAGCAAAAAATGCATACTTGCTATATGCTGTCACAGTAGGATGTCATGTTGAGCTATTAAAAATTAAGTATAAGCTGGGTACCAGTGGCTCATACCTGTAATCCTAGTTACTCAGGAAGCTGAGATCTGAGAATCACAGTTCAAAGCCTTCCCAGGCAGGAAAGTCCCTGTAAGACTCATCTCCAATTAATCTCCAGAAAACCGGAAGTGGCGCTGTGGCTCAAAGTGGTAGAGTGCTAGCCAAGTGTAGCTTTACTCAACTTACAGGGAAGACAGGTTAAGGAAGCAGTTTTCACAGTATCATCCCATGCTTAAGTCTTATTTCAGTCTAGCAAACTGTTTCTAAAAAATGAACAGTGGTTATCCAGCTGCAGACTTATTGCAATGTTTCCTGTTGATATTTTCCATAGTACATGTTTTATCTAACAAGTTTTATATAGTAGTGAAATGTGGAAATATTAAAAGTTTAAAAAACGGCTTAAGGGGGTTGAGGATTTAGACCACTTACCTGGCAAGTGCAAAGCCCTGAGTTCAGTTCTCAGCTCTGCAAAAAAACAAAAATAATAAGGGCTGAGGATGTAGCTCAGCAGTAGAGCATCTGCCCAGCAACCCCTGGCTTTAAACCGCAACAACCCAGAAAAGGGGGTGGGTGGAGATTTCATAGTATCACTGCCATTGTTTAGAAGGTGAGCTGCAGGTTCCTGGTATCCATAGAGATGAGGCGGGCGAGGGACGCCGTAGGAGGACAGCGAAGGCAGATGGTCAGAGGGCGCACATCCTCACGGCACAGCTTTCGTGCCACACATGCCACACCCTCCCTTGACTGCCAGCTGCCTCTGCGGTGGTGAGCTGGCTTTGAGAACTCGGATCCCAGCGTCTTAGACACAGGACAGGTGCTCAGAAAAGGATTCAGTAACTCACTTCTGCCCTTTTCTCCTCAGGGAGTTCTCTTCTGTTCGTCTTGTTGCCCCGATCTGCCGTTTATTTATGCTTTCGGAGGTCAGAAAGAGGGGCTTCGGGTCTGGGACATCAGCACTGTATCCTCAGGTAAGAATCTTGAGTGTCCCGCTCTCTCTGAAAGGGCCCTGAAAGTACCAACCCAGAGTGCCTGGCTTGCATGTGTTCAGATGGCTGTAGTACAGTCCCTTTACTTCAGAAATATTGGGGTTCATGAATAAGGTTGTGTTCACACCTTATGTTTAAGTTTACGTTTTTGTTTTTGTTTTTTTTTGGGGGGGGGGGGTGGTTCCAGTCGTGGGGCCTGAACTCTGGGCCTGGGCACTGTCCCTCAGGTCTTCAGCTCAAGGCTAGCGCTCTACCACTTGAGCCACAGCGCCACTTCCGGCTTTTTTCTTTTTGCTTATGTGGTGCTGAGGAATTGAACCCAGGGCCTCAGGCATGCAAGGCTCTACCACTGAGCCACCTTCCCAGCCCCAAGTTTAAAGTGTTTTATTTATTTTTATTTTTATTTTTTTTTGCCAGTCCTGGTACTTGAACTCAGGGCCTAGGCTTCTTTTGCTCAAAGCCGGCACTCTACCACTTGAACCACAGCACCACTTCTGGCTTTTTCTATGTATGTGGTACTGAGGAATCGAACCCCAGGCTTCATGCATGCTAGACAAGCACTCTACTACTGAACCACATTCCCTCCCTAAAGTCTTTTAAATTGAAAGGTTTCCTGGGAAGACGGAAGGAAATGTTCTGTACTCAAAAAAGAGCCCTCCCCTTGCTAGTTACCAGAATACATAAGTGTGTCCCTTTCCCAACTGCTTTCTTCAAGATTGCTTTCCCAGGTGGCCAGTGTCTTCCCCTTAGAAGATGTGGCTGCTGCTTTATTATCTTGAGGTAGTCTGCTATGTCTTATAAACAGTTTAATATGCCCCCACTGTATGGTTCCTGAATCTTCCCTCCTATAAGGAACAAGGAGGTTTCTCTGGGTTACTCTGGCTTGAATTTATATGAAAGATCCTAAATCCACAAAGTTCTATGTAGTCACAATACAGAGGAGAGAGAGAGAGAGAGAAAACAACCTGAAATAGAATGGGAAGGCAGTGTCTCTAAGGGACGGAACACCTGTTAACCAAGGTAGATTAGCTACTTCCAGGGACGTTAGAGGAGTGTACCAGGAAAAAAAAAAAGACGAGGGCTGGGAAGGTGGCTCAGTGGTAGAGCGCTTACCTTGCATGCATGAGGCCCTGGGTTCCTCAGCACCACATAAGCAGAAAAAGCCAGAAGTAGCACTGTGGCTCAAGCAGTAGAGCATTAGCCTTGAGCTGAAATGCTTAGGGATAGCGCCCAGGCTCAGAGTTTAAGCCCAGGACTAGGGGGGCTGGTTGACTTTAGCACATTAATTTGGAATTCTAAGCTGGTTACTATCTCATTTGCAGTGTTACTTAAATACATTTTCATAACAAAGTTTCTACTCTAGAGTAAAGAAACTTGTCTCTTATGATGTAGAGACTTGATTTCTTGAGCTGTAGTTTCTTAACTGCTTGCTTGTTTTTAGTAAATGAAGCATTTGGACGGCGTGAGAGGCTTGTTCTCGGTAGTTCGCGAAGCTCGTCGATTAGTGGTCCTTTTGGGAACAGGAGCTCAGAAACACCAATGGAGTCTTAATGAAGATCATAGGATGTTCTCATTGGCTTACCTTGGAGCTGGCCTGAACATGTGCCATTTGTACCTCCAGCCAAGCAGAGGTACAGGAAGAAATTTCATTGCTACTGCCTCATGTTCCTCTGTAGGGGATCATGGCAGTATGGAGCTGGTCTTCGTGCCTGCCTTCACCTGGGTGGTGTATAGCGGGCTTGTTGGATTTCTTGAAAACACCAATAAAACGAATTCCTCTGTCACAGGAACTCCAGGTTTGTAAAATACATAGTAACTTAGAGGAAATAAATTTGAACAAGGGAGGGGCTTGTCATGTTGCCTAAAATGCTTTTGGATTGGGCTCCAATGTGCCTATGTCAGCCACCTGTAAGGCTCTGAGTACTGCAGTACTGAGAAGCTGGGATTATAGGTGCACACTACCACACATGCCTGTAGAATTTTTTTTTTTTCTGTTAGTCCTGGGACTTGAACTCTGAGCTTGGGTGCTGTCCCTACGCTCTCCAGCTCAAGGCGAGCACTCTACCACTTGAGCCATAGTGCCACTTCTGGTTTTCTAGTGGCTTATTGGAGATCAGAGTCTTACACACTTTTCTGCCTGGGCTGGCTTTGAACCATGATCCTCAGATCTCAGCCTCCTGAGTAGCTAGGATTACAGGCATGAGCCACCAGTGCCTGGCGCCTGTAGAATTTTTGACAGGAAAAGCATGTGATTTTTTTTCAGTTGTGGGGCTTGAACTCTGGGCCTGGGTGCTGTCCCTCAGCTCTTCAGGTCAAGGAGAGGAGCACTCTACCACTTGAGCTTCAGCTACATTCCTGGTTTTATGGTAGTAAATTGGAGATAGTCTCATGGACTTTCTGCCTTGTCAGGCTTCAAACTGGTCTACAGATCTTAGCCACCTGAGTAGCTAGGATCATATACATGAGCCACTGGCACCTGATGCCTACCCTCAATGTTTTCATTCCAGGCTAATCAATAAATGATACGGCACATAAATAGAAGAGGATAAAAATCTCAGATGCAGAGAATCCACTTGATAAAATTCAGTATTCCTTTATGATAAATGCTGTGAACAAGCATATAGAAGGATCATTCCTCGGTATAAATAAAAGCTCTACAGAACTACACCCACTATCATACTGAACAGGAGAAGAAAACATTGCCTCTTAAAATCAGGAGCAAGACAATTGTCCATTCTTACCAGTCTTATTCAATATGTTACTAGAAATAGTAGCCAAAGCAGTTAGGCAAGAAAAAAAGGCATAAAAGTGGAAAATGAAGCCATTATGCTTGTTTGCACGTTTTCACTACATAGAAATCTAAAAACACAAAAGACTACAGCATACAAAAGTTCAAAGCTTTTCTACACCAGACTTGGTTCAGAAAGAAATGAAAGCCATCCCCCACACAACAGGCATACACAAATACAATACCTAGACTTCCATAATGCAAATTATCAAACACTGATGCAAAAGAATTGAAAACATTAAGAAATACAGATGGGCTGGGAATGTGGCTTGATAGAGGTGCTTGTGCTTGCTTGCCTAGCATGTGGGAAGCCCCGGCTCAGTTCCTGAGACCATATAACAGAAAAAGCTGCAAGTGGCCCTGTGGTTCAAGTGGTACAGTGCTAGCCTTGAGCAAAAGAAGCTCAGGGACAGACAGGCCCTGAGTTCAAGCCCCAAGACTGGCAGGGAAAAAACAAGTACAGATGCCTGTGTTTATGGACTGGAAAAATTAATATTAAGGTGTCCATATTGCTCAAGTCAATCTAAGATAAAATAGAGTCCTTATCCAAATACCAATTACATTCTTTACAGAAAAAGAAAAAACCAAAACTTTGATATGTGCACAAAAGACCCCAAATAGCCAACACAGTCTTAAGCAAAAAAAAAGGGGGAGGAAGCATTACAATTTAGCATATACTGCAAAGAAAAGAAACCCCAAAACAGCATATCATAACAGTAATATCATAAAGATATACACAGACCAGTGGAACAGAAGAACAGAGTACAGAAATAAACACATTGACAGCCAACTGGCACTTGAGTTCCAAAAACAGGCTGAACGAAGAACAGGACAATCTCTTAAACAAATGATGCTGGGGAAAGAATACGACATGTAGAAGATTGAAACAACTCTCATCACTCATTGTGTACAAAAAAATGGGTCAAAGACCCTAAATATAAAGCCTAAAATTGAGCTTAATAGAGAAAATCATGAAACACTTCGAGATACTGGCATAGACTATACACAAAGATGAAATTGTCACAATAAAAGCCTTTAATGTTAGTAATTCTAAAATTAAAAATATACTAGGATAGCTGGGCACTGGTGGCTCACACTTGTAATCCCAGCTACTCAGGAGTTTGAAATCTAAGGATCATGGTTCAAAGCCAGCCTGAGCAGGAAAGGCCGGGAGACTCAACGCCAATAAACCACCAGAAAACTAGAAGTGGCGTTGTGGCTCAAGTGGTAGAGTGCTTGCTTTGAGCTGAAGAGCTGAGGGATAGCACCCAAGCCCAGAGTTCAAGCCCTTTGACTCATACACACACACATGTATTAGATATTACTCCACCGTGAAGAAACAACCTAGGCAGAATAAAAGAACAGAGTTGCCAGGGCTGGAAGTATGTCTTAGTAGTGGAGTGCTTGCCTAGCATGTGTGAAGCCCTGGGTTCAATTCCTCAGTACCATATAAACAGAAAAAGCCAGAAGTTATGCTGTAGCTCCACTGGTAGAGTGCTAGCCTTAAGCACAGCAAGGCTCAGGGACAGTGCCCAGGCCCTGAGTTCAAGCCCCAGGACTGGCAAAAAAAAAAAAAAAATTGCCAGCTGTTCATCCATAATAAAAATGTAAATTTTCCCAAAATAGCTAGCTATCTTTCATAGTGGTTTTGTCCCCATTCTTGCTACAAACTGATCTTGATGTTTGTCCTGTCTCAAAGCCTCAGCAAGTAAGCAGCTGGGTTCAGACATAGGTTGGGGCCTTGCAAGGGGAGCTGCAGAACAATGCATGCTCTCCATGAGCACCCTAGCTACCCACATGCAAATATGACTGGGGGCTGGGAAGCTGGCTCAGGGGTAGAGCACTTGCCTTGCATGCATGAGGCCCTGGGTTCGATTCTTCAACACCACATAAGCAGAAAAAAAAGCCGGAAGTGACACTGTGGCTCAAGTGGTAGAACGTTAGCCTTGAGCTGAAGAGCTGAGGGACAGTGCCCAGGCCCAGCTTAGGCCCCACAACCGGACCCCCAAAATATATATATATGTATATATATATATATATATATATATATATATATATACACACATATATATGTGTATATATACACATGTGTATATATACACATATATACATATATGATTGGTCTATATGGGATGAATAGCCTAGATTTTGTGATTTCCTGTGAAAACAGCTTTGTGGCAAGTTTCCTATTACTATGACACAATACCCAAGGCATCAGCCTATAAGGGGGATTTATTTTGGGGTCATGGTTCCAGAGGCTGCCAGCTGGCTGTTGCTTTGGAGCCTGAAACACAGTGGATCACCACAGAGGGTATTCATGGCAAAGCAGAGCTGCTCACACAGCTGGGAGGTGGAGAGCAGGCACACTCAGCCATCTCCTAGTCTCCACTCCCTCTAGATGGCAGCATTGGCTGGGAACCAAGCCTTCACCACACCGGCTTTGGGGAAAACATTTAAAATCCCAAACTTAGCTGGGCATCATAAGCTTTATGCCTGTAATCCTAGCTACTTAGGAGGCTGAGATCTGAGGATCTTGGTTCAAAGCTAGCCCAAGCAGAAAAGTCAGTGAGATTCATCTCCAACATACCACCAGACAACTGGAAGTGGTGCTGTGGCTCAAGTGGCAGTTAACCTTGAGCTGAAAAGCTGAGGGACAGTGCCCAGGCCCAGTGTTCAAACCCCACGACCAACAAAAATAAAATCCCAAACTTAAGTGGCACCAATAATAACCAAATCTATGCTATGCTGAGATCCTACTTGCAAAGAGGACCTTATTAGAGAGTTAATTCAGAGATCATGTGTAGAACACTCTTCAAATCTTGGCTCTGACACTTACTAGCTGTGTACCTGTGGGCTAATTAACCTCTGCTCTGTTCTGCTGCTGCTTCTGTAAACAATGGATCAGTGATAAGTCTTCTGTGAAGACATATTTAGAATGTTAGAACAAGCTGAGCACTGGTGGCTCATGCCTATAATCCTAGCTAACTCAGGAGGCTTGAGGCCTAGAAAATTGAGCTTTGAGTTCAGCACAGGTAGAAAATTCTGGGATATTCCATCTGCAATTAACCAGCAAAATGATGTATTAGAAGCGTGGCTTAAGTGATAGAGTGCCAGCCATGAGTAAAACAAGCCCTGAATTCCAGCTTCAGTACTGGCACAGAACAATGGCTGCCACAAATAAACACTATCATTATAACTTAAAACATTAAAAATCTGTTATTGATTTGGTAAGCCTGGCATTCTAAATCTTCAGTTACGTTTTCTTGACCCAACTCTTCTCTCAGAATTCAGCATTCCTGATAGGCGCTGGTAGCTCACATCTGTAATCCTAACTACTCAGGAGATCGAGATCTGAGGATCAGATCAAAGCCACTCTGGACAGGAAAGTCTGTAAGACTGTGATCTCTAATGAACCACCAAAAACCAGAAGTGGTGCTGTGGCTCAAAGTGGTAGAGTGCTAGCCTTGAGTGAAAAAGCTCAGGGACAGTGTCTAGGCCCTGAGTTCAAGCCCTACAACGAAAAACAAAAGCCTCTCTGCACACTGAACAGAACTAGGCATACCTTGTCTACATTTCTCTTTTTCGTTAAACCAGTCCTTGGGCCTGAACTCAGGACCTGGGCACTGTCCCTGAGCTTCTTTTGCTCAAGGCTAGCATTCTGGCACTTCGTGGCACCACTTCCTGCTTTTTCTATGTATGTGATACTGAAGAATTGAACCCAGGGCTTCATGCATGTTAGGCAAGCACTCTACCACTAAGCCACACTCCAAGCCCCTCCTTTTTTTGACACCCAAAACTTTTTTTGTTGGTCGTGGGGCTTGAACTCTGAGCCTGAGCGCTGTCCCTCAGCTCTTCAGCTCAAGGCTAGCACTTTACCACTTGAACCACAGCACCACTTCTGTTTTTCTGGCGGTTTATTGGAGATAAGAGTTTCACAGACTTTCCTGCCTGGGCTGGCTTTGAACCACAATCCTCAGATCTCAGCCTCCTGAGTAGCTAGGATTACAGCCGTGAGCCACCGGCGCCCAGCCCAAAACTTTTACTGGGGGTGAGCAAATGGGCCTCTAGGGACAGGCCTGGGCCCTCACTGCACAGTTTGCTCATTGGTGCTGCCTCCAGAGTTCTGAGGCTTCATCACATCTGGAAGCTCTGGTGGGGCTGGAGAAGGGCTTGATGTACAGCTTCACAGGCTTCATCTGCCCAGAAGGCCAGCCTGCTATGGCTGGGGCCTGTGGCTGCACTGTGGCTGGAAAAGCCACACTTGCCCAGCATTTCCCCATCGTCTAGAAGCTGGTCATCTTTGTAGAGCAGTGGCCCCTTGGCGACTGTGAAGAGGGTGGTCTTATAGTGCCAGATCATGAGGATCACATCCTGGGGGACCACAAGCCAGCTTCAGTGGCAGGGCACCAGCACCCCCATGCAGAACACTGCCCTGTCTGTCTCCTTAAACATCCCAGTCAACAAAAGTGCTGCCCTAATGTGACAATGGAATGGATGGTTCCTATGAGCTTGTTTGTACAGCGCTCATGTAATGATCATTGCTAGGGAACATGTCTCATGAGCAAGGTGTGATGGGGCTTCTGTAGTTGATCTGCAGGATTTGAGTAACCCCTATTTATTTTTGGTCATGGGGCTTGAACTCTGAGCTTGGGCGCTGTCTTTGAGCTCTCCAGCCCAAGGCCAACACTCTACCACTTGAGCCACAGTGCCACTTCGTTTTCTGGTGGTTAATGAGTCTCACGGACTTTCCTGCTCAGGCTGGCTTTGAACCACGATCTTCAGATCTCAGCCTCCTCAGTAGCAGGATTATAGGCGTGAGCCACCGGCACCTGGCCAGTGGCAGTAAGTATCTTGTCGACTTTTTGTTCCTGTAACAATCCTTTAAAGTGTACAAGCACGTTTATTTTTTGTGCCTGTCCTGAGCCTTTAACTCGGCCTGGCAGAGTCCCTGAGATTTTTCTCAAAGCTAGTGCTTTATCACTTGAGCCATTGTACCACTTGCAGCTTTTTCTGAGTAGTTTATTGGAGATGAATCTCAGGACTTTCTTGCTTGGGCTGGCTTTGAACTGCAATCCTCAGGTCTGACTGAGTAGGTAGGACTACAGGATTACAGGTATGAGCCACCAGCACCTGGCAAGTGTTAGCACTTCAAATGGTTTCTGAAAAACAAGCTGTCCTTCCTAGAGTTCTCAGTATGGAGGTCCAATAACCCTGAAATATACATATGTAAAAAAAACTAAGGAGCAAAAAAACATTGTTGACTCATTCCTGTAATCCCAGCTACTCAGGAGGCTGAGATATAAGGATCACAGTACAAAACCAGCCTGGACAGAAAAGTCTATGAGACTGTTATCTTCAATTAACCACCAGAAAAGTGGTAGAGCTCAGGGATAGTGCTCAAGCCGAGTTCAAGCCCCACCCACAATCAGGGGGGTAAAAAAATTGTTGAAGGGCTGTTTCATCCTGTTAGGCCAGGAGTGGGGAATAGGTGGCCCAAGTTCCAGGCGAGGCTCATAGATCATTTGGTGTTTGGAACAAACAATGCATTATCATCTGCTGCCCTCAGCCAAAATGCCTGTACGGATCATTTTGCCTGGCAAATGTTCTAACTACCCAAAGAGCCCTTGGCAGAATAAGAGGATCCCCATACCTCAATCTTCTGGTGGCAATACAGACCACCATGTTGTTTGCTGCCTTCCACATTACTTAAAATGATCTGTAACTACTGTTCTGGGAAGCTGCTGTTTTGTAGGTACCAGGTAGATGCTCTACCATGTGAGCCACTCTAGCTCTTTCCTACTGGTTACTTACGCAAGGGCCAGTCTAGACTGCGATCCTATTTGTTTTCATGTGTTACTAGGAATGACAGATATACACTACTATGAGCAGCCATTGGTTGAGACAGGGTCTCAATCATGGTTTGGCCATGATCTCGATCACCCCTAAAGCATGAGCATTTCAGGGTAAGACATTTTTGCTCAGCTAAGGCTTCACAAAGCCCAGAGACGAGTCCACTCATCACACCCTGCCTGAGTGGGACGCCCTTCCCCAGCAGCAGCAGTTGGCAGCCACTCATCTATCTTGGAGATGACTTAGAATGTGCCATTTAAAACCAATGGGGTAGAGAAAAGGAAAGCATGGTGAGACACTGTTAAGTAGCAGCAGGTACATTCTCCTTTGCTTTGGGGTTTTTTGACATCGGGCAGCATTTCCATACTGGGAAGTAAAGGACTTGAGCTTCATGTGACTGAGGCAGACAGAGCTTCTAGCACCAGGGGCTCCCGGGAACAAGGGAGCTCACCACGGGACACACTTGGCAGAAGCTGCCACCCCACCAGCCACCATGCAGCACCTGCTAGTTAGTTCTCAAGGTAGAGAGATGGGGAGGGAGGGATAGGGAGGTAGGGAATCCAGGAAGCACAACCTGTCTAGGCACCAGAGAAATCATCAGATGTTCTCAAAGCTAAGAAAACCTTCCCATTTAACCCCAGGAAAGTCTCAAGGTGTGGTCAGCTTCCCTCGGACTCAATCCTCCTCCTCCATGAAGATTATACAAGAAATCTTGTATTTAAAAAAAATTATTTTAATCCTTTCTAGAGGAATACAGATTTGAATGAAATACATTCGTTCCATAAATACATTAGCAGCAAAACCTTCTCCCCAGGGTCCTCTGGTCCAGAAGTTGTGCCTTCAGTTAGGAGGGATGTCCTATCTGCTGTCACTGGAGCATGCGTGCTTCTTCACGAAAGCTGCATCTGCCTGCTCACAGGGACCTGGGCACAGGCCTGGGTGGTGGTGACCACTGAGCCGTCACCTTCTGACTCCACTGGCATCCTCCATGCTCAGCTGGTCAGGTCCTTTGGCAGAGCTGCAAAGACCTAACCCTGCAAATGTCCCAATGCACTTGGAGTATTCTGTTGCTTTCAGTTGGCAACATTTAATGTTCTCTATCTACTTCTCAAGGAGCAAACCAAAGTTCTCCCTTCCTTCCCTTCCATGGGCTGAGATACCACTCTGGTGAGTCCACGGGCCACCAAGAGACAATTTAGACCCTCTTTAAATGACTCGAGGTTCTATGGGAGAGAGACATGGATAAACCTACAAAGAGCGCCACATAACATTAACCAGGTGACTCTACCTGGCTTCCATTAACACTAACTCCTGCATGGCCCCTCCTCCCTTCCTTCCCTCTATCATTACTCATTGGCTGACAGCTCCTTTTCTACCTGCCCTCTAGGAACCTGCTGGACATTCGGGAAGCAAGATGTAACTCCCAAATGGGCCAGGAGAGGCTAGCACAGGGGCTGCTTTGAATCTATGATTACAGTTCATGCTGCATGGTTCCACTGCTCTGCTTCAGCCCACTGTGCAATGTGTAAGGCGCACATCTGCATAAATGACCATCAGCAAGTGGATGGCAGTGGGGCAGCAATCGAATTTAGAGGTTAATATGTCATAGGACTGAGAGAAAAACAGAGTGGGAGAGTCTGAAATAAATCGGATTTTCTTGAGCAGAAGGCTACTGTGAAGCATTTCCAAAACTAAGTACATAAAAGAACAGATCTCCAAAGTTGGCCCTTGCCCTCCCATCCTTCACTGTGTTTCCACTCAGACACCTTTGTAAGTGCTTTATCCATTCCCAGTCTTGTTTTAACTGCTGGCTGGAAGGAAATCAGAAACCATTTTGGATCAAAATCACTGTAGTGGGTAACTGCCTAATGTGTGTCTTTCCCTTTGTGTTTCCGTCCAAAGCAACCGCGTTCTCTTTCATTTTTGTGCAGCGAGAGACTCTTCTGCTGAATATAAAGCACTGCTAATCCGACAGTCTTCTGCCCCCACAGCGTCTGCAAGGTCTTCTTCCTCAGAGTCGTCGTCGTCCTCGTCCTGTGCTGAGGAGCTGGAGGTGGGTCCTTTGCAGGTTTTCAAGTGGCGGGTAAGATGGTATTTGGTTAGATAAGCTTTCGTACATTTTTCACAGACATAATCCCGCTTTCCTTCATGAGAATTGAGGTGCTTCTTCAAGTGATTCGTTCTCAAGAACAGTTTATCACACTTGGGACACTTGATCTGGCGCTCTCTAGGAGAAACACAAGAAAAACTTGAGTTGGGATTGCAAATGGCGGCAGAGACACACACTCACTCTCCATAGCCCTGGGTGCTAGTCAGAGACATGCCATCTGTGAGAGTTCTTAAAATAGATACATGGAATTCATAAAACACAAGCAGTTTCAATAGTAAAGACTTTTCACACTTAGAATTCTATGCTAATGGAACCACCCAATATATCTATTTCTTCATGAATATGAAGCTTTTCCTGCCCTTCAAATTACCAAGGAGTTTGGCTGTTCCCCCAGATCGGCTTAGGTATCCCTGTTGTATGGTAAATGGTTACCTAGCCATTTTTCTTCCATCTCTGAGTCTCTATCAGCCAGCACAATGCCAAATATCAGGAGGTTAAATTTTTAAATGTCAAATTAAAAAGACAAGCCAGGCACTGTGGCTCACACCTGTAATCCTGAGGATCCCAGTTCAAAGCCAGCCCAGGCAAGAAAGTCCATGAGACACATCTCCAATAAACCACCAGAAAAACCAGAAACGGCACTGTGGCTCAAGTGGTAGAGTACTTGCCTTGAGCTGATGAGCTGAGAGACAGCACCCAGGCCCAGAGTTCAGGCCCCACAACAGATCCCCCCACCAAAAAATTAAGACAATACCAGGTGCTGGTGGCTCATGCCTGTAAGCCTAGCTACTCAGGAAGGAGGCTGAAATCTGAGGATCATGGCTCCAAAAGCCAGTCTGGGCAGGAAAGTCTGTAACGCTCATCTCTAATAAATTACAGAAAAAAAAATGGAAATGGAATTGTGGCTTAAAGTGGTAGAGCACTAGCCTTGAGCACAAAAGTTCAGGGACAGCACCCAATACCTGAGGTGAAGCCCCAGGACCAGCACCAAAAAATAAAAAGGACAAAAATACAGAAAGCATATGTGAAAAGTAAATATAGAAAACAGACTAGGAAGCTGGGCGTTGGTGGCTCACACCTGTAATCCTAGCTACATAGGAGGCTGAAATCAGGATCGCAGTTCAAAGCCAGCACGGGCAGGAAAGTCTGTGAGACTCTTATCTCCAATAAACCACTAGAGAACCAAAGTGGTGCTGTGGCTCAAGTGGTAGAGCACTTGCCTTGAGCTGAAGAGCGCAGGGAGGGCCCAAGCCCAGAGTCCAAGCCCCACAACCGACCAAAAACAACAAAAAAAAACCAGACAAGGGAAATCTTCCTCTGCTTGGCTACAAACAGGAGACATGAGCTGTACCATGAGCTGAAGTCTCAGCTGGCACCCAGATGCCAGGCCACCCACAGGCAGCTCACTACCCAAGAGCAACCTACTGCGTGTGGATGAGCACGTGCTGCTTGAGGTCCTGCCTCCGCATGAAGAGCTTGTCACAGTAATCACACTTGAGATTCTTCTCCCCGGTATGAATGACCATGTGTGACTCCAGATGCGCCTTCTGAGTGAAAGACTTGTCACATAAACTACACCTGTAGTTCTTCTGGCCTGCAAATTACCACATTAGCACCGCAAGTGAGACAGCTGCTGGCGCGCTCAAGATAAACAGGCCTATGCAGGGTGTGCAGCAGAGGCGGGAAGAAAGCAGGATTGATGGCTGTCTGGAGCCCTACAGACACTTGAAGCCATTTCATTCATTCTGCAATCAAAGTGAAGTAATCCTGACCTCTATTGGGAGGTCTTATTTAAATATATACATGTATTTCTGTGCATGCACACACATTTTATACTTGACATGATATAAAATATGGGGAAAACATCATTTATAATCCCCAGCACCCCACCTAACACAAAGAAACTCATGAGTCCTAGCACGTTGTACATTCTAAGCTCGACATTATATATAAGCTATACATTCTGAACTTTTCCTTTTTTTTTTTTGTTGGTCATGGGGCTTGAACTCTGGGGGGCCTGGGCGCTGTCCCTTGGCTCTTCAGCTCCTGGCGAGCACTCTACCACTTAAACCACAGCACCACTTCCAGTTTTCTAGTGGTTAATTGAAGATAAGAGTCTCACAGACTTTCCTTGCCCAAGCTGGTTTTGAACCGTGATCCTCAGATGTCAGCCTTCTGAGTAGTTAGGATTACAGGCGTGAGCTACCAGTGCCGGCTTTTCCTCTTTAAATATGTAACCTCATAAACCTTAAAGTCCTAAGAATACACAAGTATGACCTCCTCTAAGTCAAAAGTTAGTAAAGCTAACTTTTTTTTTTTTTTTTGGGTGGGGGGCGGGTCCAGTCGTGGGCCTAAACTCTGGGCCTGGACGCTGTCCTTCAGCTCTTCAGCTCAAGGCTAGCGCTCTACCACTTGAGCCACAGCACCACTTCTGGCTTTTTTCCTTTGCTTATGTGGTGCTGACGAATGGAACCCAAGGCCTTAAGCATGCAAGGCAAGCGCTCTACCACTGAGCCACCTTCCCAGCCCTAAAGCTAACTTTTTTGAGGCACGTTTTTCCTACAGGCTAGAGCGAGGTTTTAGGTTTGGAAGCCACACAAAAGGCTCTGTTGTAGCTGGGCACTGATGGCTCACAGCTGTAATCCTAGTTACTCAGGAGGCTGACATCTGAAGATCACTGTTTGAGGCCAACCCGTACATGAAAGACTTATCTCCAAATAACCACCGAAAAGCCAGAAGTGGAGCTGTGCCTCAAAGTGGCAGAGCATTAGCCTTAAGCACCAAAGCTCAGGGATAGTGTCTGGGGCCTAAGGTCAAGCCCCAGGACTGGCACCGGAAAAAAAGGTTTCTACTATAACTACAAGCCCAAGAAGAGGGGCTGGTTTACAAGGGATTTAGAAAATGGCAGCCAATGGGCTGGGAAGGTGGCTCAGTGGTAGAGCGCTTGCCTTGCATGCTCGAGGCCCTGGGTTCTATTTCTCAGCACCACATAAACAAAAAGAAAAAAGCCGGAAGTGGCGCTGTGGCTCAAGTGGTAGAGTGCTAGCCTTGAGCTGAGTTCAGGCCCCACGACCGGACCCAAAAAAAAAAAAAGAAAATGGCAGCCAAGAATCAAACAAGGCAGTGTTTGCTGAATAATGTTCAAAAGGAAACTTGCTGGCTGGGCTCAGAGCTGAGCTTAAGAAGACCAGAATGCTACTGTGGAATTCCCTTTATGTTCCAACACAGTGACCAACTTTCCCATTCTGAATTACATATTCCCAGTTACTTAAACTATGATGGGAATGCCTAGAAAGGAGAGCCCTCTAATAAAGTCCTAGCACTTGCTAGACGCCTCGCTCAGTTAACTACCCACCAAGGTCTGCCACCCAATGAGACACCCCCAAAAGCCATCTGGGTTCTCTGATATAAGGCAAAACCTTTAGGAGTGCCATTTATTTTTATTATTACAATTATCTTTAAGTGGTGTATAAAGGAGTTGTGGAGTGCCATTTCTAACTGTGTGACCCTCGCTCTCTGGGGGCCAGAGTATGTGCAGGGAGCTCACCTGTGTGTATCTTGAGGTGGGTCCGCAGGTTGCTTGGGTCACTGAAGGCCTTGCTACAGAAATCACACTTGTGGGGCTTCATTCCCATGTGGCCCATGATGTGCACATGGAGCTTGGAAGGAGAGATAAAAGCCTGCGGGCACATGGAGCACTTCCACTTCCGTTCTTTGCTATGGCCTGGCCCATGGCTGTTGCTGTGGCCCTGACCAGGGAGATGATTATGGATGTGGCTGGTCAGGTGAGCTTTGAACTCTGAATAGGAACTGCACTCCTTGCCACAGTTACAGAGGTGCACATCAGGGTGTTCAGGAACACCTTTAAAATTAAAAAAAAAAAAGAAATCCTGATACTGAAATGTCAAAACTTCCTTTATCAGCACTGGTACTGGGAACTGAACTCAGGGTCTTGCACTTGGCTAGACAGGTGCACTGTCACTTGAACCATGCCGCCAGTTCCTTTTTTATGCTACTTTTGGGGTAGGGTCTTACTTTTTGCTCAAGCCAGCTTGGACTGTATGTACTTCAGCATGTCACTCGGATGGTAGGTGTGTGGCATTGTGCCCAACTTGGGCACAGCTTCTTGGTAGCTGGGACCCAGGGATAGGCATCATAATACCTAACCACTGGTTGAGATGGGAGACCTGAGAACTTTTACGAACAGGCTGGCCTTGAACTAAAATCCCCAGATTCATGCTTTCCTAGAAGGCGGGAATACAAGCTTAAGCCTGGTTTCAAACACATGTTTGACATTAATAACTGCTGCTTGCAATTCTCCCTGCTATGAAATTTTCCAACTTGGCCCATTATCTGTAAAATTGAAATGTCATGTTCAAAGCTCTGTTCCCAGCATCCAAGAGTGTACCAGACACACAGAAAGCACCTGGTGAACACTGGATTATCAATCCTTTCCCAGGAAAAGTATTTACATTGGGTAGTGCAAACTCACTGTTACAAAGCACTTGTCAATATGACTAGAAAGAGAAAGCTAAGGCACATTAAATAAATCAAGGGTCTTTGCTGACTTCATGAACTTCAATTTCAACACTGCAGGTACAAAATGGAGCCTTAGAAGCTTCAAAGCCCCCAAATCAAAGTCCTAAAAAAACCCAAAATCTCATTTCATTTGGATGAATATAATATACTTAGTTCATTACATTCATCTTGGGAAGAGACTTTAACGCCCTCCCCCCAACAGAATTAGTAACTTGATTTTATATACAAAGTAAGTTTGTAATTTATTTCAACTTCCTTGTAAATCACCAAAACTTCTCCCTGGTCCTTGCTGTTTTTACTATGTTAGATTCATGACAAGTAAATCTTAACAAACTCACCCATCTGCTGAGCATAGTCCCGACTATAATAGAAGAGCAGTTCGTTTTCAGGTGGGATGTCTTGTGAGGTGCAGAAATAGATTTTTCCATCATGGGGATAAGCAACCAAATTCTGTTCTTCACGGTTCCTAAGTTATCAGACATAATAGACCAAGCATGTTAATTCTGTTTAAAAGACAGAATCTTACTATGTTGCCAAGGTTGGCCTCAAAACTCCTGGCTCAAGCTTTCCCAGGTAGTACCTAGACAGTGTACCACCACATCTGCCCAAGTATGATTTTTTCTTTTTTGTTTGGCAGTGTTGGTGCTCAAAGCTTCCTTGCTCATGCTAGCCATGCTTCTACTACTGCTCCTACACTAAGCTATGCCTCAGCCACTTCAGCCTAGTATTTTGGAATATATTAGAAGCATGTCATACACCTTATAATGAAATCTGTATGGAAGCTTAAGACAGAACTGTTTTCTCCAAACCATTTCTGGAATCCCTATGCTCCTGCTGGGAGGGACTTGTAGAGAAACACAATTCTTATTTCTGTACAGTAGCTAGTTGCTCTTTGTACTAAGAAAAATCAGAGCCGGGCACTGGTGGCTCACATATGCAATCCTAGCTACTCAGGAGGCTGAGATCTGAGAATCACAGTTCAAAGCCAGCCGGGACAGGAAAGACTGTGAGACTGTTATCTCCAATAAACCACTAGAAAACCTGAAGTGGCGCTGTGGCTCAAGCGGTAGGGCGCTCACCTTGAGCTGAAGAGTGCAAGGACAGCGCCCAAGCCCCAGAGTTCAAGCCCCACAACTGACAAAAAAAAGTCAGAGTCTGTTACTGGAAGTAAAAAGTATAAATAAAATAAAACCTTAAAAATATGACACAGAGGGGCTGGGAAGGTGGCTCAGTGGTGGAGTGTTTGCCTTGCATGCATGAGGCCCTGGGTTCGATTCCTCAGCACCACATAAGCAAAAAGAAAAAAGCTGGAAGTGGCGCTGTGGCTCAAGTGGTAGAGCGCTAGCCTTGAGCTGATGAGCTGAGGGACAGCGTCCAGGCCCAGAGTTCAGGCCCCACAACCGACAAAAAAAAAAAAAAAAAATGACAGATACTGAACTAACAAGAATCAACTCTAGTAACAGTAGGAAGGGCTAATAGCCAATACAAGAGAAGGCTCTCACTTGCAAATTCAATGGGAACTATTTTCTTTACTGTGCTGACAAGATAAATTTAAAAATTTTAATATAAAGGACAGTTTAACATGTTCTGAATTATAATCACCATTAGCAAACACTACTGGAACGATGATGTTAAAAAGCATCAGGTGCCTTGAGCCAGTGGCTCACGCCTGTAATCCTAGCTACTCAGGAGGCTGAGACCTGAGGATCATTGTTCAAAGCCAGCCTGGGCAGGAAAGTCTGTGAGACTCTTATCTCCAATTAATCACAGAAAAAGCTGCAAGTGGTGCTGTGGCTCAAGTGGTAGAGTGCTAGCCTTCAGCCAAAGAGCTCAGGGACAGTGCCCAGGCCCAGAATTCAAGCCCCCGGAATGGAGGGAAAAAAATTATCAGGCTTTAAGTACATCCAGCTATTGGTGGGAATGCAGGTTCTCCAGGTCTTCCCTATTTTATATAAAACTTCCTACTGAAAAACACCTGATGGTCACCATTTCTTTACTCTTACCTAGCTTTGCGCACAAACATCATCCAATTACATTCATTCTCGTCAGTTGTAATGATGCAGAATTCCAGGACACCATTGTGGTATATCTGTCAACAGAAAGCAAGCACGCACATCAAGTGAACTGACAAGTGATACAGGACCATATTATAGATTGGCCAGCAAGCCTTTGGTTGACTCACTGGCAGTAGGTAGCAGCTTTCCTAGTCCCTGTGAAAATAGATGGCTGCCTCTCCACATGCTTACTGCTTCATCAGTCCTATTTCCAGAAATAGGGTAAAGCTGGTGATCAGTGTACAGAATGTTACTAAGATACATAGCCAGAAAAGACCCAAAAAAACAAGGTACTTGTCTGTCTTCTTCACTATTATGAAGTGGCACAGAAGGACAGACTGTCCACTGAGGGTAGAAGTCTACCCTCCTCATTATTTTTCCAGTTATATCTAGCAATCCTCTGTACTCTACTCCCACCAACAATGGCCATTTACCTTTCCAATTATCCTAAGACCCACTCTCTCCCCACTTCAATTTTGAAAGCATCATTCTCAATTAGTTGACAGCCATAGCTGTTTTTGTCAAGATCTTGCATTCCTATGAAAAAGCTAGAGAAATAATTATAGCTTGCAATCCTAAAATTGTGATTCAAGATAAATATTTGAGAAACATTTTAATTTAAGAACTAAGATTTTATCATATAAACAAAAATCCATTGTTTCAGCTACAAAAGTATTAAAATGCATAAAATTATTTATTATTGGATTATCCCACAAATTCGAGACTAAATCAGCTTTTGGTGTTTGGGGTTTTGGAGGATTGCTGGGGGCAGGGTACGGAGTTAGTCTCTTTTCGTTCTTTTTTTTTTTTCGGTCAGTCGTGAGGCTTGAACGCTGGGCCTGAGCTCTTCAGCTCAAGGCTAGCACTCTACCACTTGAGCTACAGTGCCACTTCTGGTTTTCTGGTGGTTTACTGGAGATAAGAGTTTCACAGACTTTCCTGCCCAGGCTGGCTTTGAACTGAGATCCTCAAATCTCAGCCTCCTGAGTAGCTAGGATTACAAGTATGAGCCACTGGCACCTGGCTTCTCTTTTTATTCTTTTGACACTCTCTTCTGTGTCTATTTCAATTTCAAATGTGGTTACTGGTATAAGCATAGTATTTCCCTACTATAACTCTGAGAATTACATTCATTCCCTTTTTTGATATTCCAGTCTCATGAGTAGACTTCACTGCAGAGTCATCTGAAGACAGTCTTGTGCCTTCTAGTGATAGTCTACAATAGCCTTCAACTCTTCCAGAACTCTACTTGATGGATTTAAATATCTATTAAACCAAGAGGAATTTTCTCAAGTCAGATTTCAGATAACTTATGTATTTTTCCTTAAAAAATGATGTCTCCTCTCCAAAGAAACCACTGCTAAAAGGAAGTGGAGTGTGCACAATGACATTAGCCCCATGTGTCCTGAGCTGCTGGAGTGGGGATGAGAGGTCAGCTCTAGTCAGGATGACAAGTAGGCGGATCCAAAGTACTTGTCCAGTTAGCTAAGATTTCCCATTCCTAACCCATCCTTAAGGAAAATGCAATGTGGAGGCACAGCCCCCTCACGGGCATCCAGGAGGGTAGCCATGCCATGCAGATCATGTTTTCACTGGTGAAAACATGGAAGTCACTGCAATTATCAAGGATGTGCTTGACTTTCTATGCAGCCATGTCGTAAGTTTTACTGTCTCTGTTCTTTATGTTTGCCTTTGAGTGATTGCATGTCATCTCTGATGTACTTCCTTACTTCCTGTAGGCTTGTCTTTGTGAAGCTGGTTTCCTGTAAGCGCTGGTTGCGGTAATGTCCACTCCACATCAGCAATTACTGTGCTTTCATCACCTCCATCCTGAGGTATTCTATCACAGAGCAAGTAATCAGTGTTACCCTCTACCTCCAGGGACAGCTCATCAAAGATTGCCCAGACCTGGTGAGCAGGAAACAGCTTACCATGGCTGAGGAGGTCCTAATAAATGATTGTGATAAAGACTGGAGGGAGAAGAGGGCAGCACTAGTTTAGCAGGAACTCTGACCTCAGAGGGTGTGGTGCAGCCTGAGGGACATTCAGAGGAGCGAAGAATGAGTGGAATAGCCTAAATCACTTTATTCCTATTTGTCCAACAGCGACTGCTTTATGTCTTGGTTATGAAGAATAACACAGAAAATGTAACAGTAAATGACAGGTAGATGCATTGTTCAGTCAGTCCAGAATAATTCTAACTTTGTATCGGTTGTCAAACTACCTTATCATGAAGGTTATCAATACTTACCTTCCAGATATGGTTAACTGCCTTGTCTGTCCACTCTGCAACTTCCATAGAGTGACTTTGCTGACCAATTAGAGGCCCAAAGCAAGTCCGCACAGGAATGGTTTCTGCTGTCCAAACACCTGTCAATGGACAGACACACCAGTTACACAATCAGTGATTAAACAACCAACTGGATCCTGAGACAGGTGCTCAACACCTTGCAAAGAATCTCATTTTCAGTGAACCCAAGGACTACTGGTATGTCAGTATTGCTCGGAAAAAGCTAAAATAGTGGTGGCTGGCCTGTAAATGTGTAAAATGCAATAAGCACCTTAAATGGGCTCAAAAGGAGTATCAGAAATTCAAAAATCTAGTTTTATACAAAAGAAATCTGACATGTCTCTCCTAATTAATTATTCTGGAGTTAATAAAGAACAGGAAACATTTTGTTACAAAAATATAACAGAATTACTACAAAATAAACTTGTAAAACATTTTGTGCTCTATACTATCTAAGCTAGTTAGCACTTTAAAAACCCATGTCCTATATCCAAAGGAATGTAAGTCAATATACAAGAGATGCCTGTGGGGGGCTGGGAAGGTGGCTCAGTGGTAGAGCGCTTGCCTTGCATGCATGAGGCCCTGGGTTCAATTCCTCAGCACCACATAAGCAAAAAGAAAAAAGCCGGAAGTGACGCTGTGGCTCAAGTGGTAGAGTGCTAGCCTCGAGCTGAAGAGCTGAGGGACAGCGCCCAGGCCCAGAGTTCAGGCCCCACGACTGGACCCCCAAAAAAAAAAAAAAAGGTGGTTTTGGCCACATTTTCACAATAGCCAAGCTATATAATCCACCTAGGAGCCCACTGGCCAATGAATGGATAAAGAAAATTGTGCTATACACAGTAAGCTCACCTCAATACCAAATTTATTAACTTGGGGTTTTCATCAAGCACAGACAGAAAAAGTTTTTGGGTTTTTTTTTTGTCGGTAATGGGGTCTGAACTCTGGGCCTGGGCGCTGTCCCTCAGCACTTCAGCTCAAGGAAGCACTCACCACTAGAGCCACAGCGCCACTTCCGGTTTTCTGAGTGGTTTATTGGAGATAAGGGTCTTATAGACTTTTCCTGCCTGTGCTGGCTTTGAATCGAGATCCTCAGATCTCAGCCTCCTGAGTAGCTAGAATTACAAGTATGAGCCACTAGCACCCAGCTTAGAAAAAGTAATTTTAAAAAATGAAACTTTAGCCAGGTGCTGGTGGCTCATGCCTGTAATCCTAGCTACTCAGGAGGTTGAGATCTGAAGACTGCTATTCAAAACCAGCTCAAGCAGGAAAGTCCGTGAGATTCTTTTCTCCAATTAACCACCAGAAAACCAAGGTGGTGCTATGACTCAAATTTTAGAGTGCTCACCTTGAGCTTAAGAGTTCAGGGACAGAACCCAGGCCCAGAGTTCAAATCTCTTGGCCGACAAAAAAAAAAAGTAAAAAAAAAAAAAGAAAGAAAGAAAGAAAAGAAACTAAAAAACAAAGTGGCTGGGCATGGGTAGCTTGTAATCCTAGCTATTCAGGAAGCTGAGATCTGAGGATCACAGTCCAAAGCTAATTTACAAACTTTTGATCTACGTTTCTTTTGTGTCATAAAATTACCAGTGGAGAATTTTCCATGTTTCAACACAAGAAATTACATTTCAAACAATGTGCTGCTAGGAAAATTCAAGACTTCAAAAACCCAGGCTGGGGGCCATGGGGGGGAGGAGTGTAGTTGTGAAGGTAGGAGGGAAAGGATGGAGGGGAAAAACAAAGGAGGAGGCAACAATGCTTGATAAGAAATGTACTCATTACCTTGCTCATGTAACTGTAACCCCTCTGTACAGTATTTTCACAATGAAAAAATATTTAAAAAAAACAAACAGGATAGGATACTTTCCTCTATTCAAGTCTTTCCAAAAAAAAGAGGAGGGGAGAGTCTCCCAAGAAGTTTTCAACTTGATTTATTGTTATCACTACCAGACAACACAAATATTCCCTAAAAGCATGAATTTTAAGACATAACTGACCTTTAGATTAACTCCTAAGTTACAATACATCAAACTACAAGTGAAGACTTGGTAAAATTATATGGTTCCAAGATGCTTACCAACTTCTGCTCCCACAATTGACTGGCGTAGAACCAGCTGCTTTGGGAGCGAAAGTCGTGCTCTGCTCTCTATTGGAGTATCAGGAACAAAAGTCACTGGTCCGTGTTCAGGGCAGTCTGAGGGGTAGGCTCGGTCACAGAGAGTACACCCTGTGAACAGCAAGTGTGAGACACACATGGGTAGAATTCACCAGGTTAAATTACTACCAGGATTTTTTAAAAATTTAAGTGCTAATTACAAAATGTAATCAGTAAGAAGCAAGGTTGTAACAGAGATACTCTGATCAAAGAACCATCTTTTTATACTAAAATGTATGTCTACTCTCATGTCTCTCCAGATTTCATTAAGATTTGATTTTCTTTTGGTTTGGGTTCAACAGAACAAGTTTTCTATTCAGCGCATAAAAGATTAATAAAAAATAATCAAAACAAAAAGTACTGAAGATTTTTATTTTACTACTCCTAAATATAAACCAAAGAGAACTAAAAACAGGTTCATACAAAAACTTGTACATGAATGCTCAAAAAGCATTCACAGTAACCAAAAAGTGGAAGCAATTAAAATGTATATAAACTCCTAAATAAAATAAAATTCATTTATGGACTATTATTCAGCTCTGAAAAAAACCAAAGTACTGAGATATGCTTCATGCTACATTGATGAACTATTATAATATTATGCTAAAGCAAAATAGGCAGATAGTTTTTATCTCCCATTTCTTGCAAAGGGAGGAGAAAATGTCTCTTTTCCCTTTCTCCCTACTTCAACCTGGTTAGAGTAAATCCTTGCTAAAACCCTACTTGTAAGACTTTTATTTTTGGAGGGGTACTGGGCCTGGGGCTTGACCTCAGAGCTTAGGCAGTCCCTAAGCTTTTGCTCAAGGCTAGTGGTCTACCACTTGAATCACAGCTCCACTTTCAGCTTTTTGGTGGACAATTGGAGCTGGCTTTGAACTGTGAACTTTAGATCTGATTCCTGAGTAGCTAGGATACAAGCATGATCCACTGGAGCCTGGCTGAGACCACCCCCCCACAAACACCTTTTTGTGAGATACTCTGATATGCTTTTCATGAGTGTATCTCAAGGATGTGTGATCTTATGTAAAAGCTGAGAAGTTGAGGGAACCCCTCATTCATTCTCGTGTCAGAAATTGGATAGCCTGAACTAGAAGTTGAATCTCATGAGGTATGGAACGTGTTTAGCTTTGGTACTTTTCTGTCTAAATTTATTAGCCATAGAGAGTGAGAACTTTGTCTCTTCTCCCAGACTGGCCATTGGAGGGAGGAAAACAGAGGCAGAAATGGACAATGAGAAAGGGGATAGAAGAGTTGTTCTCTTGTTAGTCCTATAGGTACCCGGTGGTTTTTTCAGCCTTTCAAGTAACTCAGATAGGGCTGGGAAGGTGGCTCAGTGGTAGAGCGCTTGCCTTGCATGCATGAGGCCCTGGGTTCGATTCCTCAGCACCATGTAAGAAAAAAAAAAGCCGGAAGTAGCGCTGTGGCTCAAGTGGTAGAGCGCTAGCCTTGAGTCGAAGAGCTGAGGGACAGCGCCCAGGCCCAGAGTTCAGGCCCCACGACCAGACCCAAGAAAAAAAAAAAACAAGTAACTCAGATATGGTTGAAAGACTGAAAAGTCAATTAGTACTTTAAATGGCATGAGGCTAAGTACTACTAGAGTTACTGCTGTCTCAATTCCCCTGGATTTGTTCCCATTTAAAGTTAACTTCTTAAGTTTGCTTAAACTCTCTTTACTAACAATTCTCCTCATTAGGTCTTGCTTTGGAGATGGGTCATTTTTCCCATCATGGATATGTCAGACCCAGGAAAAGAAACAGGCCACATCTAGGTGGCTGTAGGTACCTGCCTAAGCCAATTGGTTGCCTTTCAACAATCAAGGCCTGAGGCAGGTTACTTTGTGATCAGTCTGTGGTTAAAACTTCTAGGGCAAAGCATGGCACGGGTGGCTCAGATCTGTAATCCTAGTTACTCAAGAGGCTGAAATCTGAGGATCAAAGTTTATAGCTGGTGGACAACAAAGTCCATGAGACTCTTAGCACCAATAAACTACCAAAACCAAACGTGGAATAGTGGCTCAAAGAGTAGAGCAAAAGCAGCTGAGGGACAGAGCAAAAGCCCAGGCTCTGAGTTCAAGCCCAGGACCAGGACACACACACACACACACACACACACACACACACACACACACGGATGCAGGCACACATGCACACACACACACACCCCTACCCCTCTTCTATGGGTAAAAAAAGTTATAACAAAATGGAGGCATAGGGCTGGGAAGGTGGCTCAGTGGTAGAGCGCTTGCCTTGCATGCATGAGGCCCTGGGTTTGATTCCTCAGCACCACATAAGCAAAAAGAAAAAAGCTGGAAGTGGCGCTGTGGCTCAAGTGGTAGAGCGCTAGCTTTGAGCTGAAGAGCTGAGGGACAGCGCCCAGGCCCAGAGTTCAGGCCCAGGACTGGACCCAAAAAAAAAAAAAAAAAAGTGGAGGCACATGTACACTGGAAACTTTCCTGTACTGAGAGTGGCATGACAATGCTAGTAGTGGAGGTATCAACCAGAGACCACCACTTTAGTGGGACATAGCCTCTGAAAGATGGAGATCTCAGGTCCCCCCCCCCCGCCCCGCCCCCATCTACCGCTGCCATTTCTTGGATCTGGTCCTCTTCCAGAGATGTACTAGAAGCATGATGCCCCTGGTCTCCCTCCCTTAGATAACACATGGAAGGGGGCTTGGGAACAAGTGTTCAGCTAAACTGCATCTTCAGGCACCAGGACCACTTTAATCCCAATAATCTGAAGACTATACTGCAGCCTGGCCCCAGTAGCAGCTATCATACCAAGAAATCAATGATTCCAAGATGGGGATCTAAATTTTAGCACCAAGTTAGAATTATATCTTTTGTAAAATTTCAAAATTATGGGACTAATTATTCAATTAAAATAATACACGACTGCTAATTATGATTGATTAAAGGATATTACTCAAGAAGGGAATGAAAAACCTAATCTGTTTCTAGGACAGTTAACCTAGACTCAGAAACTATACAAATATCAGCCCAGATTCAAGGGAAGGACAAACATTTCTGAGGATGTCTTTTTTGAGGGGGGGTCATTAATGGGGCTTGAACTTAGGGGCTGGGCGCTGTCCTTGAGTTTTTCCACTCAAGGCTACCTTCTACCACTTTGAGCCAGTGTCATTTCTAGTTTTCTGGTGGTTTAATTGGAGATATGAGTCTCGCAGACTTTCTTGCCTGGGCTGGCTTTGAACCACAATCCTCAGATCTCAGCCTTCTTGAATAGCTAGGACTATAGGCATGAACCACTGGCACCTGGCATGGGGTATCTTATTAGTCAATAAGCCCCAGCTATCTGTCCTAAGCTACAGAAAAGAAAGTGGGTACCCAGACCCCACTTAAAGATTTAGTAAATTTGATATGTGAGGCTTTTAACAGCACAGATTTAATAAAATAAAAAATAAAAAATGATTGAGAGGTCAATTATAGGCAAAGAGGCAAGCCCAATTATTTCGCTTTTAAAAAGCAAGGTCAGCAATGATTAAAGTCAGAAATTTCTCTCTAAAGGAAAGCCTCTTTGGGGAAACTCTAAGCAACAGGCTGGTTCTTATAACTAAAGGAATAGCCAGGGGCCGGTGGCTCACGCCTGTAATCCAAGCTACTCAGGAGGCTGAGATCTGAGGATCACGGTTCAAAGCCAGCCCGGGCAGGGAAGTCCATGAGACTCTTATCTCCAATAAACTACTAGAAAAAAAATCAGAAGTGGCACTGTGGCTCAAGCGATAGAGTGCTCTCCTTGAGCTGAAGAGCGTAGGGACAGTGCCCAAGCCCAAAGTTCAAGCCCCATGACCACCACCACCACCACCAACAACAACAAAAAAAAAACTAAAAGGAGCAAGTTATAAATGTGAAGAACCAGGGCAATGGACAGTGAATGCCCTCTGAAGGGGCAATGGTATCTAGGGACATGCGGCCAAGCATGTCCCTGAGAGGAAACTCCCTCTCCAGGAGGGAAGCACATCCAAATGACAAAGCCTTGAAGACTAAAGATGCCCCAAAGTTGCCACTATTTCAGCCTCAGTCAACTCCTAATACACTATGAGAAACCTTGAATGTTTCCCAATGTGGCTAAAAGATCAATTCTAATAGATAATAGGCCCCAATTTTCTGTCTTAGCTGCCTTAGCTGACTTCCACAGAAGTCAGTAAATGAAGGTGTGGTAACTGATGTTGAGAAAACCACAAACATCAAAAGGGTCACTGCTTTCTTGACTTAAAAGAATAAAGTCAGGCACCGGTGGCTCATTCCTGTAACCCAAGTTACTCAAGAGGCTGAGATCTGAGGATCACAGTTCAAAGCCAGCACAGGCAGGAAAGTCTGTGAGACTCATCTCCAATAAATCACTAGAAAACCGGAAGTGGCGCTGTGGCTCAAGTGGTAGAGCACTAGCCTTGAGCTGAAGTAGGGACAGTGCCCAAAGCCATCGTTCAAGCTCCACAACTGACAAAAAAAAAAAAAGAATATTTTGATGTCTTCTGATCCTGGTCATCTTCTGGTCCTGATCTTGGCAGCCTGTCAGCCAAATTTCTGGTTAACTGAATTTCCCATTTCACTTCCTAAAGACTGGGAAATTTTTTGTTGTTGTTGTTTTTTGGGGGGGGGGCTCCCTTTTCTAGACAGAGCCAACAGTCCATGCTCAGCAAACACAGTTACAGAAGTCAGACCATGGGCCCTCTGAACTCTTTAAGATTAAAAGGGACCAAAGTCATTTAGGAGGGAAATAAAGGACTAGATGAGGAGCTAGGGAAAAATATAATTTTTAATATATCAAAATGGCCAGACTCAGACATTAAGGCCATGCACTGAAAAAACAGGTCAATTCTCCCATCATGCCTCTTTTAAATGTTAAATTGCAGTAACCTACCTAACTCTGCCTTTTCTGAAATGTAGAAGGGGTTGCCTAAATTTGCCTGTTCCTTTGAGATGGTTTTTTAAAAATATCTGAGAACTCTTCATGAATAAGTAGACACAGAATAAAAAATATGTCTGGCAAAAGGAAATTCTGAAGGCTGTTTTGGGTGGGGCTCACCCATTTTACTCACAAGCAACCATTATCTAGTCTCACTAGATTAAGAGGTGCTGGATGATGTGTATATTTTGACCAGCTAAAAAAGTATAAAGGCTATACCTAGGAACTGCCATTTTGAGTCTTTAACTCCCATTTCCTTCATGAGAAGCAGGAAATACCTATCTTCGCCATTTCTCCCTTTAACTCTGTTATGCTAAAATAAGTCCTTGCTAAACTTTAAAAGGAGCAGACAGGGAAGGCATATGATTGCATTTATACAAAATGTCTAGAGTAGGAAAATCACACATAGCAAACGATCATTTGGTGCCTGCGAATGGTGTAGAAGGAGTGAAGAATGACTGCGAATGCTATTTGGTAAGAAAAGTCTGTATAGATGATTATAACTTTTGGAAGTAAATACCTGTGATGACCGTACAACATTTGAATATGCCAAAAATTCACTTAGTGCACTTTAAAATGCATACACATAAACAATATCTCAACTAATGGTCTTCATGTTAATTACAATACTGGATGAAAATATGAACTTGAGATGTGTTAATACCAAGAATGTGCATCACTCCCTTCTTCTCTTCCTGTTCCATATTATCACTAGCTGGTTTCATCCCATTGCCACGGCCACAAGTATACTATCTTAATGTTGATGATTCCTAAATATTTCCAGTTAGAATTGATCCTATTCAGCTCCATATACAACTTTCTTTTTTTTTTTTTGGTCCGGTCATGGGGCCTGAACTCTGGGCCTGGGCGCTGTCCCTCAGCTCTTCAGCTCAAGGCTAGTGCTCTACCACTTGAGCCACAGCGCCACTTCCGGCTTTTTTTTTCTTTTTGCTTATGTGGTGCTGAGGAATCAAACCCAAGGGCCTCAGGCACGCAAGTCAAGCGCTCTACCACTGAGCCACCTTCCCAGGCCCTCATATACAACTTTCTTAGATCCTGAAACTAACTTTACCACCGCCCCAAACATAAAAACAAAACATCAAAAAAACAAAATCCCGTCCACCTTTTATTATTTATTCACCTCATTAATCCGCTTCCAGAAGCCAGGATTTTCTTAACCTTGGCCAGTCCACAAGCTCTACTCACTTCTCTAGAATGTCTACTACTTCCTTCACTGGAGTTAAAGGATGACTGGAAAACCATCACCTTTCATGTGAATTTGGCACATCATCTCAATGTACTTCTCTAACTACCCTGACATTTTTCACAGAACCTAATCTCAACCTTCTTCGTTTGCTCTTAGAAGATCTTGTCCCAGTTCCTACTTCTTTTATCAGGTGACCCCTCCCATCTCCATTTTACATTTCAACAAATCTGAAACATTCTTGATTCTTTTAATTCTAGGCACTGACAGGTGCAAACTCCCAGCTTCCTGTCAACTGTTTTCATTTTTCTTGTCCTTAAGGTCTGTGCTAACATGTATGTTACCTCCCAACTTTCTACACTGGTTGTTTTCCCTCAGGCTGTTTTAGCAACAAGAGCTAACTCCATCTTCACACTGACCATTCTGTGATCCAATAGTTTGCTTGTCCATGCCTTCTATTACACTACAGGTTCCTTAAAGGTATATCCTATCTCTGTACACTGCTCTATCCCCAGACCACAAGTTAAGCATGCAGGTTAAGTACACATTTCATGCATGAAACATGAAGAAACACCAAAAACCCACCACGTGGATGTGGCTTTGCATTATTGCCCAATAAAAATAAATTTTACATGTCAAACTACAATAATTGCCAGGCACTGGTGGCTCATGCCTGTAATCGTAGCTACTCAGGAGGCTGAGATCCGAGGATCACAGTTCAAAGCCAGCCCAGGCAGGAAAGACCATGAGACTCTTATATCCAACTAACCATCAGAAAACCTGAAGTAGAGCTGTGGCTCAAAGTGGCAGAGGACTAGTCTTGAGCACAAAAGCTCAGGGACAGCACCCAGGCCCTGAGTTCCAGCCCCAAAATCAACAACAAAAAAACTAGAAGAAAAAAAAAAAGCCAATAATAATTTATATGTATTCTGAACAAAAAAGTATTACATTTATATCCATCTATATTTCTCCAGCTATAAAAGTAATTTAATTTTGGGCTGGGAAGGTGTCTCAGTGGTAGAGCGCTTGTCTTGCATTCATGAGGCCCTGGGTTCGATTCCCCAGCACCACATAAGCAAAAAGAAAAAAGCCGGAAGTGGCACTGTGGCTCAAGTGGTAGAGCGCTAGCCTTGAGCTGAGGAGCTGAGGGACAGCGCCCAGGCCCAGAGTTCAGGCCCACGACTGGACCCAAAAAAAAAAAAAAGTAATTTAATTTTTTTAGTCTTATGCTTAAAGAGCACAGTGAATGTCATATAGACTAATTCTATAAAATTCCATGCTATAACCCTTATTTGTAAAGCCTTAGAAAATACCTTAAGCATTATCAAGCAAGTTTATCTCTAAATACAGAAGTGACTACTTTTATGTTTCTTTCCTCTAGGATACTGTAAAAAAAAAAAACAACAACTAATATTTGGCTTTATATTATACTACAAGACTTAATGCATAATATTTGGCACATTTCTTAGCTTACTTGAGGTAAAGGCACCACTTCAATAAAAGGATCATAGGCAAAAACCTCCAAAGACCAATAACTTCCTATATATTCCCTTAAATTAATGCAGAACACTGACTGAACCTAGTAGGGACGATGGTCTTTTTAAACCAAAATTTCTAAAAGAGAAAGGCTAAGCACACTCACAAATTGTAAACAAGGTTGCCATGTTTTCCTTGTTTGAATTGGAGTCTTCCATTTGCAGTGAAGATGGTACAAAAGAAAGACTGTCTGAAGATACATCTACATGACCTGTTCCCATAGCAACCTCCTGGGTGATGGAGGAGACAGCCACAGGTTCTAGGCTGAGGCCAACTTCATGAAGGGAAACAGATTCTAGGGAGGCAAGGTTGTGTGAGGTAGAGAGTGCCACGCTTACAGAGTTGGTGCTCATAGCCACGGTGTGGATGGAGTCACTGAGGGCACTGTCCGACATCCCGTTGACCCGACTTGCAATGTGGTCTGTCTCCATGACCACAGGGAGCTCCAGTCCATTCCCATGAATAGGTAGCACACCGCCATGTCCTACAGGGTCTGCTGTCAGGTTGTTGCTCACAGAATCCACGGAGAGAGGTTCATGACTTCTGGAGCCATTTGGAATTTGAGAATGCTCGCCTGCAACACCATCCATTGTAAGCTCCTCTGCCATTCCATCTGTAGAGATTGGGCTGGTAACCCGGGAAACATTCTCCATAGTGATTGTTGTGTCCAACGCCACCTCATGGCCATCACTAGGATGAAGACTTTGGGCACCATGTGTGTTCACAGAACGTGAGTCTATTGAAACAATGCCTGGTTCTAATCCAACATTTCCATTGGACTGATAGGGATCGAGCGCTGAAGGGTTATTGGCAATCGATAGTGCTGTGTTACCATCCACATTTATAGAGTTGGGGTGGATGTACTGAGGAGGTGGCCTGTCAGCTAAATAAGAAAGAATACCTGAGAACAAAAAAAGATCAGAAATAGAAATTTCTTACTACATTGTTAAATATAATAAATTTCAATTGCTATAAATTACTTCCCTCAAATACAACCAAATTAAAATAATCTACTTAACATATATATTTTTTTCTGGGGGTGTGTGTCAGTTGTGGGGCTTGAACTGTCCCTGAGCCTCTTTGTGCTCAAGGCTGACACTCTACCAATTCAGCAACAGCTCCACTTCTAGTTGGTTTTTTTTTTTTTTTTGGGTCCGGTCGTGGGCCCTGAACTCTGGGCCTGGGCGTTGTCCCTCAGCTCTTCAGTTCAAGGCTAGCACTCTACCACTTGAGCCACAGCGCCACTTCCGGCTTTTTTCTTTTTCCTTATGTGGTGCTGGGAATCGAACCCAGGGCCTCAGGCATGCAAGGCAAGCGCTCTACCACTGAGCTACCTTCCTAGCCCCACTTCTGGTTTTTTGAGGGGTTAATTGGAGGTAAGAGTCTCATGAGGACTTTCCTGCCTGGACTAGCTTCAAACCGCAATCCTCAGATCTCAGCCTCCTGAGAGGCTAGGCTCCTAATTAGGTATACTTTTTAAAAAGTAGTGACATGAACATACCATAATTTTTCCTGTCAAACTCAAATCCCAATAGCTTGATGCAAACTATAAATGACTGAAGTGCTACCTTTAGTATTTACATGGTTGCAATCCCTAATTCCTAACATGCAAAAATTTGCTGTACAGACATAATTAAGTAGGGCAATGATGGCTACAATCTGTAATCCTAGCTACCTGGGAGACTGAAGGATTGTGGCTCAAGGCCAGGCTGGGAAGAAAAGTTCAGGAGTCTCATGAACTCTCCTCAATTCATAGCTGGGCATAGTGATATCTGTCACCAAAGCTACATAGGAAATGGATTGGAAGGCCAAGGCAGCTGGGACAGAAGTCTACAAGAATGCTAGGCTCCGGTGGCTCGTGCCTGGCTGAGATCTGAGGATTATGGTTCAAAGCCAGCCTTAACAGGAAAGTCCATGAGACTCTTATCACCAATTAACCACCAAAACCCCAAAGTGGTACTGTGGCTCAAGTGGTACAGCACTAGCCTTGAGCTGAAGAGCTGAGGGACAGCATCCAAGCCCAGAGTTCAAGCCCAATGACCGACCAAAAGAAAAAGACTGATATAGTAAGTCATTGGGAGAGCCAGACTTTTCCATCTGGAGATGAATATATAATGACAAAGACAAAAAAGAATGATTCAAATCACTAAGAACTGAGGTTAAAAGATGGCCCCATTATTTTTCCTAACAAGAAGATAAAACTTACCAGGTAGAATGGTTCTGAAGTAACTGCTCTCGAGGTGAGGGTAAGGTGGTGGAGGTAGGGTATAGTTTCTTTCAGGTAACCCACACATCACCCCTCGATCCCCAATACCCATTGGGAGCATCAGAGACAAAGCAGAAGGCAGAGAGCTTAATGAGGGACCCAGGTTTGGAATTGCCACAGGAAGACCTACAAAATAAAAAATTATTAAATTTCACCTTAGTAATCTTAATACTATACAGATTTCCACAAACAGGACAAAACAGTGTAATTTCAAAACTAATTCTCTAGGGGCTGGGAAGGTGGCTCAGTGGTAGAGCACTTGCCTTGCATGCATGAGGCCTTGGGTGCAATTCCTCAGCACCACATAAGCAAAAAGTAAAAAGCCGGAAGTGGTGCTGTGGCTCAAGTGGTAGAGCGTTAGCTTTGAGCTGAAGAGCTGAGGGACAGCGTCCAGGCCCAGAGTTCAGGCCCCACAACCGGACCCCCCCCCAAAAAAAAATTCTCTAGTTTTAATGTGTCAAATGAATCCTCCCATTGTCTGTATTGCTCCTAAGTCATTGCGCATATGTCATTCACAAATAAAATCCTAATGTATATAGGGACTGGTGTGGTGGCACACACCTGAAATTCCAGGTACACAGGAGGTCAGATTAGGAGAATCAGTTTGAGGCCACCCTGGCAGAAAAGTTGACCAGATCCCATCTCAACAAGTACGCTGATATGGTAAATCTTACCTATAATTCTGCTACACAGGAAGCATTTGAGAATTGCCATGCAAGGCTATCTGAAATATAACTGAAGTAAAAATGGGCTGGGACATGACTCTAAGGGTTAAGTGACTTCTACTGTGTCTAAATATCATAATGAATACTAATAAGTTTGGGCAGTGCTGATTTATACATTTCTGCAAGGAGCAATATTTTAATTTTTTAATTTTTTTTTTTGTCGGTCCAGGGCTTGAACTCTGGGTCTAGGCGCTGTCACTCAGCTCTTCAGCTCAAGGCAAGCGCTCTACCACTTGAGTCACAGCACCACTTCTGGTTTTGAATGGTTTAGTGGAGATAAGAGTCTCATGGATATTCTTTCCCAGGCTGGCTCTGAACTGTGTGATCCTCAGATCTCAGCCTCCTGAGTATCTGATTACAGGTGTGAGCCACCGGTGCCCGGCTATTTTTTTTTTTTTGTCGGTCATGGGGCTTGAACTCTAGGCCTGAACACTGTCCCTCAGCACTTCAGCTCAAGGCTAGCCTTCTACCACTTGAGCCACAGCGCCACTTCCGGTTTTCTGAGTGGTTTGTTGGAGATAAGAGTCTCATGGACTTTCCTGCCTGGACTGGCTTTGAACTGCAATCCTCAGATCTCAGCCTCCTGAATAGCTAGGATTCCGGCGCCCAGCAGGAGCAATATTTTTAATAGGCTTTTACTCTTTTTTTTTTTTTTGTCAGTCATGGGGCCTGAACTCTGGGCCTGAGCACTGTCCTGCAGCTCTACAGCTCAAGGCAAGCGCTCTACCACTTGAGCTACAGCTCCACTTCCGGTTTTCTGGTGGTTTATTGGAGATAAGAGTTTCACAGACATTCCTGCCCAGGCTGGCTTTGAACGGCAATCCTTAGACCTCAGCCTCTTGAGTAGCTAGGATTACAGGCATGAGCCACCGGCACCCTGTGGCTTTTTCTCCTTAACAAGAGTTTCTACTAAAAGGAATGCCTAAAAGGTACTTAGGCATTCAGACAGGTTAACAACTAACTTAAAATTTCTTTTGAAGCTGGGCACTGGTGGCTCACATCTGTAATTCTAGATACTCAGGAAGCTGAGATCTGAGGATTGGGATTCAAAGCCAGCCCCAACAGGAAAGTCTGTGAGACTCTTATCTCCAATTAATCACTAAAAAGCTGGAAGTGGAGCTGTGGCTCAAGTGGTCAAATGCTCACTGTGAGTAAAAAAATCTTAGATACAACATATGGACCCTGAGACTATCACAAAAAGAAAAAACTCTTTTGTGGAAACGAAAATAAAGAGATTTTAGTTTCAATAAAGATTGTCAATTGCTGCACGGTACTTTACTAATTTAATAGGTAATTCTCCATGGAGAGCTATTCAAACATCTTATGGATTAATTTAAAATAACTTCAAACATTAACAACTAGTTTGGTAAAGTCTAATACATTATAATGCAATACACCCTTCAGAGTCAATTGCTTACTCCTATCTTTTACATTTCAATAGAGAAAGAAAGTAAAACTAGACAGGAAGAGGTTTACAAAGTACAATGAAGGGTTAGAACAAATTTGCATCTTTCTCTGGTTGATAAAGCTATCTTGCCTTCCACAATTTCTGACCTGGCAAACTTGTAATTGCTCAGTTTCAAACCTAGTGAAAAAATGAGGCCCAATTCCCCATGCTTTGGGAACTAATGAGTAAGTTTAACTGGTTGTCTTCTATTAACCCAGGGACACTGTGCCAATGTGTGAACCAGATGAGTGGTTAAGCCCAAATAACATGCAAAGTTTAAAAAAACAAAACAAAACAAAAAACTATCAGAAAAAGAAAAAAAAAAAGCCGGGCGCCGGTAGCTCATGCCTATATACTCAGATCTCAGGAGGCTGAGATCAATACTCAGATCCTGAGATCTGAGTATTGTGGTTCAAAGCCAGCCTGGGCAGGAACGTCCGTGAGTCCAAATAACCACCAGAAAACCAGAAGTGGCGCTGTGGCTCAAGTGGTAGAGCTCTTTCCTTGAACTGAGCTGAGCAAGAGGGCCCAAGCCCAGAGTTCAAGCCCTATGATGACAAAAAAAAAAAAGAAAAAAAAAAAAAAACCTGCTACTACTATGAGAACTCTGGAAGGCTTTAAAACTTTTCTTCCATGCCAGCAATGTGGTACTGCCTTCAGGCCTGCCTGTCTCTTCCACCCTTAGAAGTGTGCAGAACTGATCAGAAAATGTGGTAACTCTCCCTTACCACCTACCTGGGGCAGGGATGGCACTGTGAGTGGGGGAGGCAGCCAAGCCCAGGTGACTTCCTGAGACTGGCAAGGCATTGCTCACAGAGGATGAAGTCAGTTGCTCCATCCCCACTGGGCTCAGGTTCATTTCATTCATCCTAGGAAAGAGCACACACAATCAGTTAAACAAAAAAATTACCTCAGTGATTCCATTAAGTTATCCAAGAGTCTGAATTTGTAGGGATGGAGGAACTGAATCTGATCAACTACTCATTTTGGAGGTCACAACTCTGAGATGGCTGATGTCCTATTCTCTCTAGAGGAAACAGAAACAGAGGTTTATAACTCATGTCAGTGTCATACAGCAGTGACAGACACTACCCAAAGCAAAGTCCACAATCTATACAGCACACTGGCAAACACAGTTTGTTTTTAAATTATCCAGCATTTTGATCTCAATAGTTATTGTCTCTAACAGCTTATTACTTCATATTGGTAGTTTTTTTTTTAAGGCACTTTGTTTAAAACTATGCAAAAACGAACTCATCTCTTTTATCAGCAGTTAAGGTGATACTGGGTCTCATCAATATCATCAATGGTGTGAAGCACTGTATTTCCCCTAAGGTTTAGTACTTTAATATAATCTCATCGGTATCAAGGTTCACTATGTAAGTTTTGTTGTAACTTTATTAAAATGTCCTTCAAGCCAGGCGCCAGCAGCTCATGCTTATAATCCTAGCTACTCAGGAGGTTGAGATTTGAGGATCGCAGTTCAAAGCCAGCCCAGGCAGGAAAGTCCATGAGACTCTTATCTCCAATAAACCACTAGAAAAAAAAAAACAGAAGTGGCGCTGTGGCTCAAGCAGTAGAGCGCTGGCCTTGAGCTGAAGAGCTCAGGGACAGCGCCCAAGCCCAGAGTTCAAGCCTCATGACCGACAAAAAAAAAAAATGTCCTTCAAATCCTCAGACAACATCGGCAAAATAAGGCAGATAAGGAAACTAAGGTTCATGAGGCTGGGCACATGCGCCAAAGCAGCACAATTCAGTGACAGCCCAAGACTTCCCACAAAGCACTGCCAAAATGGTTTTAACGCACCAAAGTTATAAGACACACAGTCCATGAGGACTGAAGAATCAATCACCTTCCCTATGCAATCTATCTTAACGTACACTAAAAACATCTAGAGCATAAAAGTAATACTGACCTGAGCAAGCCATTATTGGAAGCTATTATCAAAAAGAACTGGATTGAAGCCAGGCACTGGTGGCGCACATCTGTAATCCTAGCTACTCAGGAGGCTGAGATCTGAGGATCACGGTTCAAAGCCAGCCTAGGCAGGAAAGTCCGTGAGATTCTTATCTCCAATAAACTACTAGAAAACCGAAGTGGTGCTGTGGCTCAAGGGGTAGAGCGCTCGCCTTGAGCTGAAGAGCACAGGGACAGCACCCAAGCCAGAGTTCAAGCCCCACGAAAGACCAAAAAAAAGAACTGGATTATAGTGAGAGTTTAGGCACTGTCATCATAATCATCATTTAAAGAGGCTGGCCAGCAAGGTATTCAAGGTAGGTCTCTAATGACCTCTAATGCTTACTTGGCATCATGGTGACACATCTTCTCTATGTGCTAGGGTACATGGAGCAGCTGGGTTAAGGCTATATGGTAGACAGTACATTGACCAGGTACAAGGGGGCTGGGCAGGGATGGGGAGCAGCAAGGGAGACGAATCAAATGGAGCTACACAATAGAAGCATACTTAAATAGGTTTTTAAGTCAGGCACCGATGGCTCACAACTGTAATCCTAGCTACTCAGGAGGCTGAGATCTGAGGATCACGGCTCAAAGCCAGCCCAGGCAAGAAAATCCGTAAGACTCTTATCTCCAATTAACCACTAGAAAACCGTAAGTGGCGCTGTGGCTCAAGAAGTAGAGCTCTAGCCTTGAGCTGAAGAGCTGAGGGACAGTGCCCTGGCCCAGAGTTCAAGCCCCACGACTGACAAAAATAAATAACAGGTTTTTAATTCTGAAAAACAGCAATGACATCAGTCAACATGAAACTAGTAATAGGTACACATACTGTACCTTGCCATATATAATGCATTGGTTTACATGATTTACATCTCTCTCTTAATCCTCATATTATAAGACAGACATTCTTAATCCTGAGGAAACTTGGGCTAAGAAACTTAACTCAAGATCCCATAACTAGTCAGAAGCAGAGTTAGGATTCTGACTCAAATCTAATTTAAGAAAATACTATTTCTTAATGTAGTAAGAAAATTACAGTCAAAGATAATACTTTGCAGCTGGGATATAGCTCAGTGGCAAAACACTTGTCTAGTAAGTACAATGTCCTGAATTAAATCCCCAGTATCAAAAAATGAAAAAGACAAAAGAAAATAGTTTTAGCCAGGCATTGGTGGCTCACGCCTGTAATACTACTCAGGAGGCTGAGATCCGAGGACTGTGGTTCAAAGCCAGCCCAGGCAGGAAAGTCTGTGAGACTTTTCTCCAATAAACCATCAGAAAACTAGAAGAGGTGCTGTGGCTCAAGTGTTAGAGCTCTTGTCTTGAGCTGAAGAGCTGAGGGACAGGGTGCAGGCCCAGAGTTCAAGCCCCAGGGCTGACAAAAAAAGAATAGTTTTTTTAAAAAATATCTATTTGCCTTTTATATATACAACTTCTCGTGAAGTTTATTGTTTTGGGTTTTTTTTTTTTGACAGTTATGAGACCTGAACTCTGGGCCTGAACGCTGTCCGTCAGCTCTTCAGGTCAAGGCTAGTGCTCTACCACTGAGCCACAGCACCACTTCCGGTTTTTTTTTTTTTTCTGCTTATGTGGTGCTGAGGAATCAAACCCAGGGCCTCATGCATGAGAGGCAAGCATTCTACCATTGAGCCACCTTTCCAGCCCAGACTAGGTGTTTTGATAAGATTTTAATTGGATGGAGCAATATAAAATCCATTATCCTTACCAGAAAAAAAAAAAAAAAAGCTAATGCCACACGGCAAATGAAGCACATCATACATACATTTTTATTATTCTACAAAAGAATGCAAAACTCCTATAGCCCAAAGAAGCCATAAGCTACCATAAGGCAGCTGCAGGCTAACTTAGTGTTGAGTTTCTGGTCTTCAACTGGTTTACGAGACTTTTATAACTTTTTATAGGGGCAATCCTATCTAAAATAACAATCACTGGAGCCAATGAACTATAAGAAATTTGTTAAAATAACTTTTTTTTAAGTAAATTTGAAAGTTTGTAACTTCAATTTCCATTTTGAACCTTCCTGAATATTTATCTGTGTACTGAATCTCAAAATCAAAATGTTTTTATTCAAAGCAGTTCAAACGAGAGTTTAAAGCCAGCAGCTCAGCAGATTGCTGCTTTGCTGTGAGTCCCTAAAATGTGATGACCTCAGCAGATAGAAACCAAAGGTAACTAGCATCCTACAGGCAGAGGAAGGGAATGTACATTAGGATTCTCTTGAGACTTCCCATTCCAAAGTTCAATCCTAACTCCCTCCTCATAAGGGAATCTCAGAAGCCAGCATGCAAGAAAAGCTAAAGTCAAGATACTAAGTCCTCTCCTTTTACTCATCTCTGATAAAAATCATTTCCTCTATTCTCCTACGGTTTAGCTTCTAGCCAACCTGTGGAACCATTGCTAGCTGTTTATCTCACATCTCTTTCTTGGAATAAAAGAGGTAGCTAAGCAAAATGCAGTCACTCTGAAAAATGTAAATTTCAGTAATTTCAACCAATTTGTGTTTTAGCCTCCTAATTCTTCTAAACATACAGCTTTTGAAAGGATTCTGCAGTAACAGCCATTGCCATTACATGCAGAATTCTATACCGTACTGGCATGGCACTTTAAAGTACTTTAAACAATGGAAGCTTGGGGGAAGCTAGTGTGGTGGTGCACAACCGTAATTCCAGAAGGTTGACACAAGGGGATGAATTTGAGGGCAATCTGGGCTACATAGTAAAACTCCATCTCTAAAAGAAAGGTCAGTCCTGCACTGGTGGCTCATACCTGTTAGTCCTAAGCTGTTTGGGGAGAGGCTGAGATCATGGTTTGAAGCCAACCCAGGAAGAAATCCTAATCTCTTACAGAAGGACTTGCCTCCTCTTTAACCATTCTTTCTACTTTTCCAAAGCTGGAATATGAAGGAATTAACCCCATCCTATTGTCCCGGGCACATACAGACACTAGGCAAAACCCCAGGTATGCAGGGCAATGCAACTAAGCCCAGCTGTATTCATTCCATTGTGGGCCCAACCGAAAAGCTCCCAACTACCTGGCTTTCTCATTAACCTCTGCCTTCTTGCTCAGATAGATTCTCATAAAGCCCAGCTCACAGTCTCCAAGCCCACAGGAAGGCTGTGTCCCTTGCTGCTCTGTCTCAATAAACTGTCCTCGCCTGCGGATGATGGAATCTGGCCTGTTTCCTTCCTTTCTCCTCCATTTTTCCCAACGCTTAACCACCTAATAGCTAGAAGAGAGGTGTAACTTAAGTGGTAGGGCGAAAAGCCTTGAGTGATGCTACGGGAGAGTGACCTGGCCCCGAATTCAAGCCCCCAGTACTGGCACTGGCGCACGCACGCGCACACACACACACACAGACTCACACACTTTTTTATTTTAGTTTAATATGAAAGCTTGCAAGAATTAAGAACTCTTAACCTAATCCTTGGAGCCTACCGTAGGTTCCTGCCAAACTCCAGGTGAAGCACGAGGATGACGTTAAAAAGAAAAGAAAAAGAGACGACGTTTTCCTGATTGAGGGAATCGACGACGAAATAACACGTCGACGTAGGAAAAGGCTGTCACCGAGATGGCTTTTCGTGTGTGACCCGAGAGAGGTCAACCAGGATGAACGAAGAGCGTTACCCTCCAACCTAACCCCAGCTGCGGGACGTTTCTGTCGTGGCCTTGGGGACCCAAAGCCTCGTTGCACATCACCCCCCACACACACCCGCAACCCTCTCCGTGGTCCCGGGCCGCGTCCCGCGCGCCCCCACGCACCTGTGATGCATCTGCTCGCGGCCGGGCGTCGGAGAAAGCAGCGCTGGGGGCGGCGGCGCCGCGGCATCAGGCGGCGCGTCCGGCGTCACGTGCTACCGCCGCGGGCTCACAACCGCCGCCCCGCCGCGGCCTCTGGTTCCGGGGACCGCCGGGGGCCGCCCCGCTCCCGCCGAGGGCCGGCGGCCGCGCACCCCGCCGCGGGACGAGGCATGCCGGGGGACACCCGAGGCCTTTCCTTCCACAAGCGCCGGGAGGGGGGCTGCCCGAGCTGCGGGAGGGGGGCGAGAGCGGTCACCGACACGGGGTTGGGGGGGGGACGCCCTTCCCGCCCCGCTAGCGTCCCCGGGCCACACGGGCGCGGCGACACCGGCGCCTCCCGAGGGGCCCAGCAGGCCGCCCTCGTCCGCCCGGCCGGCCCGGCCCGCGCGCGCAGCCCACCTGCCGTCGGCGCGGAGGACGCGCGCCCGCCCGGTCGCTTTGTTCCTCATCCGGCCAGAGCTCGCCCCGGGTGCCCACGACCCCGCGCCCCCGGGGGCCGCTCCCCTAACGTTTCCCGCGCGGCCCCGCCCCGCCGCGTCCCGCCCCGCCCGACCTCCTCCTCCTCCTCAGGACCGCGCCCTCCGCGTGCGTTTCCGGCTCCTCGGCCACTCGGGGGCGCTCGAGCCCCGCCCACCTCGGTCTGCGCGTGCGTCTTACAGAAACCCCAGCCTGAGGGGCAGAACCGCGAGAGCGCTTCTCGGTTCAAGCCGGCCCCGTCCAATCGAGTGCAGAGCGCTCGATCCACAGTTGCTAGGCGACCGGTTGCTGCTGGGATCTCTTTCCGGGCGGTCTGGAGTCCTGCAGACTCCGGGTTTCCGTCTTCCCGGCACGCCCCCCAGGAGAGCCACGTGGTCCCAAATATTAGAAATGAATATATGAAACCGCGGGGGAGGCAGGCGTGGGGGTGGTGGGAAGGGGTGGGAGGGGGAAAACAAAGGAGGGGGTAACAGTGCTCCATAGGAAAGGTACTCATTACCTTACTTTTGTAACTGTAACCCTCTGTACAGCATTTTTACAAGAAAAAACACTTTTAAAAAAGAGACTTGAGGGCTGGGAAGGTGGCTCAGTGGTAGAGCGCTTGCCTTGCATGCTCGAGGCCCTGGGTTCGATTCCTCAGCACCACATAAGCAAAAAGAAAAAAGCCAGAAGTGGCGCTGTGGCTCCAGTGGTAGAGCGCTAGCCTTGAGCTAAGAGCTGAGGAACAGCGCCCAGGCCCAGAGTTCAGGCCCCACGACCGGACCCATTAAAAAAAAAGGGACTTGAAACAGAATTGGCGATGTGGCCCAAAAGGAATGGGGATTATATGAGTGCTGACCCTTAACTTCCACTCCACTTGAGTCACACTTCCATTTCCGGTATTTTGCTAGTTAATTGTGAGTCTCACCGACTATACTGTTCCAGCTGGCTTCCAACCATGATCTTCAGATCTCAGCCTCCTGATTATCTAAAATTAAAGGTTTGAGCCACCAGCCCCAGGCCTATATGCTGATATTTTTCACCTGTGTTGCACAGGAAAAGGGTGTCCAATTTTCCTGTTTTGCATCCGACCTGACGTATATGAAGGGAATTTGTATCAAGTGCCTCCCCCCTCTTGCTTTGTGCCCTACTGTATGCCAGGCACTGTGCTGAAAACAGAAGAGCTACTAAGAAGGTTTTCAGGGAAATGGTGCCAAGCCGCACAGGGAGCAACTCTGAAAATACAGTACACTACCCTGCCTGGTAGCTTCCTGGCACCTGCACAACAGCAACCCCGGAGTTCCTTCTGTCCTAGAGATGTTTATTGAAGTGCTAACTTCCAACACAAAAATATGAGGCAAGACACAGGTCCTGATTTCAACAGCATGCAGATGAGTGGGGCGGGTGACTTGTGAAATTCAGTCTGCTGTGAATGAGCACAGAGGGGTGCACAACCCCTGGTTCTGACCAGGAGTGGTACCAGCTCCCTGACTTCTCATAAAAAGAATGCTCATTTGGGATGAGGAATGTTCACTTATGGGACATCCATAGGTCACATTGTTTTGCTTTTGTGTTTTCACAAAAATCTGAAAGCCAAGCCATCATATCACATGTGAGAGACAGAATCCCCTGAATTTGCAGCTTCTACCCGGGGGGCCTACCCGGGAGCTTTCACTCTGATGCAGGTTTTTGAACAGAGTGAAGTGCAGAGGTGGATGTAAAATCAGGTCAAATAAATGTAAGAACTAAAAGTACTGTAATATAGTGATGAGCCTTTTTTTTTAATGACAAACTTCAAAATGACTTCTTCAAAAAAGAACTCTTAGACTTGAAAAGACACTTGGACAAAATGAGGAGTCAAGCCAAAGACTGAGAGAAAATATTTCTAGAACAAGGACCTGATGAAGGATTTGTACTTGAATAAAAAACCTTTTTAAATCAACATTAAGAAAAAAAAACAGTATTTTAAATTGTGCTAAATATATGGGCAATCATTTCACTAAAGAAGATATATGAGGGCTGGGATGTAGCTCAGTGGCAAAGCGCTTGCCTAGCAAGTGCAAGGATCATGTCTATAATCCTAGTTACTCAGGAGGCTGACATCTGATGATCAAGGCTGGAAGTCAGCCTGGGCAGAAACGTCTATGAGAGCCAGCAAAAAGCTAGAGGTAAAGGTATAACTCAAGTGGTAGAGTGCCAGTTTTGAGGCCTCATAGGCCATATAAGGCTTCAGGTCAAGCCCCAGTATTGGGTGTGTGTGTGTGTGTGTGTGTGTGTATGTGTGTGTGTGTGTACAAGCACTCACAAAGCCCCATGTGATCTCATAATCTACCAACTTGCTTTTCTGGTGGGCTTTTCTCCCATATGAAGGACATTCTCAATCCATGAACAAATGATAACATAAATCATGGGACATAGTAGGTTGAAGCTATAACCTTTCAAAATATGATGAATTTATGCCTGAAAGGAATGATTATTTTATTTTATTTGCCTTGATGGGAGTGTTTTTCCAGTTGCTTAAGGCAAATCATTTAATGTAAACAGGGAAGCCCAGAACTTGTCAATAAAAAAAAAACAAAACATGTTGGGACTACACCTTGGCTCTCAAGGAATAGACAGGAAAAAAAAGAAGAGATGGTCGTAAATGTAGGGGTTTTTTCGTCTTCTTGTTTTTAAGTTGTGCTTTGAAAGAAGGTGCCTTTCATGTGCAGGTTTGCAGAAGAAGAAATCTGATTTTTGATGTGATAACATATTCTCTGACATGAACCGTACAGTTGAGAGTGTTTTTTTTAATGACACTTTCATCTTCAAAGCCCTTTGCCAACACAGATGGATTAATTATTCATATTTTTGGTTGCTTGTTAAAAAGGCAAGTCTGCGCGTTAAAAAGGCAAGTCTTCAAAGCAGGGTTCTCTCTTGGAACTGGGGCCCTCTGCTTTTCTAACCTCTAGAAAGAAAAGGGAGTCTATTCTTCTTAGAAAGACGAATATAATGAGGGGGGAAAATGCTGGGGACCAGAGGAAGATACTGTCCTAGGCTGTGTAGGATGAGAAGCCGGATTGGAAGCTGTGTTTACAGTAAACACTGTGAGACAGAACTACAAATGTTAGTATTTTTTCCTCCCAGTCTTTGATGTGATTTTAAAAACTAGCACGAGGACATGAAATGCCTCATGTCAAACCTACCTTGGCACATAATCTATGGATCCTTATATCTGTTGTTAGTTGTTTTTTTCTGGTTTCTCCCAGAAAGTGTCTAACTGGTTTAAACAAAACAAAACAAAACAAAAAGTCAGGGAGAAGAAACTCTGAAGCTTCCCAGAGGTGGAGAGGGTGGAGAACTGGGGTGATGGGGGGGGGGGGGGGCGCATGGACTTGACGCGAGCTCTAACCACAAGGGAGCAGCAGTCTCCTTCCCCGGGCTGCACGCTGCCCTCCACCTCCCCAAATGAAGAAGCAGCAAGTGCCAGTCCGCAAACGCGCCAAGCGCGCTCCGCAGGACACCCGGGCGGGCGCGCGGGCGCCGGGAACCACGGAGAGCACCGTCGGGGTCTGATTTTCCAGGAGGAAAAGGCCTCCCGTTCAACTTGGGCTCCGCCGACAGATCTTCTGCAGGCTCCCGGGAGGGAAGAAGCTTTGGGAGCATCTGGAAGATTCCTCCTCGGATCGGAGGATCGAAGCCCCTGACAGCGTCGGGGAGGGCGGGGACCACGCTGCGGGGTGTCCCGGGTGAGGAAGCTCCTTGGTCCTCGTCTTCTTCTTTTGGACCCATCCTGGGACTTGAACTCAGGGGCTCGGGCGCTGCACCCGGAGCTGCCCAAGGTTGGCGCTCCACCACTTAAGCCACAACTCCGCGTCTGGCTTTTTTTTTTTTTTTTTTTGGTGGTTCAGCTCACGGATTTTCCTGCCCGAGCTGGCTTCCTCCCGGGAAGCTGGGCTTACAGGCGGAGGCCACCGGTACTCTTTGCTATCTTTGGAAATAAGATCGACGGGGAATCCCGGTTCCAAGCGCTGGATCAGGGCTAGGAGCATTATTATTATTATTATTTTATTGAATTTTGCCATCTCTGATCTGAGTCTTTACCAAGTGATCGCGCAGTGCCATGAACTTCAGAAGCCACGCCAAGTCTCCTTGAAGCCTGTCCGGGAACCGAGCACCCAGCACCTTCTCCAAAGACCCGCGGTGCCAGGCAGTCTGGATGCACCAGCACCTCCGCGAACCCTCTTGGGTTCCTCTTCTCAAGGACCGATGGAGAAACGTAAGCCGACCGTGCCGTACCCGCTGCGCCCGGTGCCCCTGGCCCGAGTCCCTCCCGGGGAGGCGTTCGGGGTCCCCGACCGCCAGGACCAAGCGCGCAGTTGGGAGCGCAGACGGCCGTGCCCGCCCCTGCCGCTGGAGGGCGCCGCGGAGCCCGCCTTCCTGCGCCTGCGCAACGAGCGCGAGCGGCGGCGCGTGCGCTGCGTGAACGAGGGCTACGCGCGCCTGCGGGACCGCCTGCCCCGCGAGCTGGCCGCCCGGAGGCTCAGCAAGGTGGAGACGCTGCGCGCCGCCATCGGCTACATCCGGGACCTCCAGGAGCTGCTGGAGCGCCACGCGCGCGCCCGGGACAGCCCGGCGGGGGCCGCCCCGCAGCGCAGGGCGGATTGCAACAGCGACGGCGAGTCCAAGGCCTCCTCGGCGCCCTCGCCCTGCAGCGAGCCCGAGGACGGGGCCAGCTAGCGGGGGGCCAGCGCCCGGCCCGGCCCGGCCGGCCCCCAGCCCCGCCCGGCCGGCCCCTCCCGGCCGGCCGGCATCCAGCCCGGCCCCGCCCGGCCCCCCCGCGCCTTCTGCATTTTTGATCTGCTTTCTTTGCCGTCCTAAATTTTAGGGGGGGTGGGGGGTGGGAGCTCCAAGGAGGAGGAAAGCACATTTGATGTCGGCGTGGTTCCACTCTGCTCTCATTAGTTATGTGCCAGCAACTGAGGGGTGCTTATGCTGAACCCTAAACCCTCCCTCCCTCCTTCCCTTCCCTCCCTTCCTTCCTTCTTTCCTTTCTTCCCTCCCGCCCTCCCTCCCTTCCTTCCTTCTTTCCTTTCTTCCCTCCCGCCCTCCCTCCCTTCCTTCCTTCTTTCCTTTCTTCCCTCCGGCCCTCCCTCCCTTCCTTCCCTCCCTCCCTTCCTCCCTTCCACCCTTCCCTTCCTCCCTCCCTCCTTTTCTTCTTCCCTTCCTCCCTCCCTCTTTCCTCGCCAATACTGGTGCTTAAATCCAGGGGCTCAGGCTTCTTTTTTGCTCACAGCTGGTGCTCTACCACTCGAGCTACGCCTCTTGTCCAGTATCTTGCTGGTTGTTTAGAGATGGGAGTCTTTTCACATCACCTGGGGGAATTGTGTTAGAAGTCTAATTGTCACCGTGCTGTGGGTGAAGGTGAATGGGTTGACATTTTTTTTCTCTTACCAGTGTGGGTACTAGAGCTTGAACTCAGGGCTCAAGACTAGCACTCAGCCACTTGAATGAACCACGACTCCACTTCCAGCTTTTTGGTGGCTAATTGGAGATAAGAGTCTCCTGGACTTTCCTGCTGGCTTTGATCGGTGTTATCTTCGGATCTTTGCCTCCTGAGTAGTTTGGATTACAGGTCTGAGCCACTGGACTCCCGGCTCTTCAGAACATGTACCCACGTACTGCTGGACCTCAGCACCATGGTTCCAGCCGGAGTCACGGTGTAGAAGGACCGTTATGTGTCACACAGACTGGTCAACAAATAGCCAGTTGGAAAATTTATAGCATACTAAATAAGATAGGTACTATGTCTTGTTTTTACGATCTCTTTGGAAGACACCCCAGATCTGTAAGACAACCTGTTTTCCCTCTCTGACTTTATGCAGTTTTCATCTCCTATTTCTTGGCCTTCCCCTTTTCAGTTCTCACTCCGTCTAACCTTTGGCTAAAGTGATAATGCGACTTTAAAAATAAAATGAAAATGTACATAGTGCCTTTTGGTGGTTGAACTGCATGGTGGGAGCCAGCAGGATGGATGGAGGTTGGTAGGTTTCCAAGGGTTTTAACCCTTGAGAGTTTTCAGGTATATTGAAATTGTCCACCTGCCCTTTCAAAGTATTTGATCTTGATCATCTTTCCTCACTGAGAAGCAATGATAAAGACACTTGATAAGTTAGATGCATGTTGACACATGAAAATAAACTGCCTATGTTGTTTTCTAACAGGACAAGTTTCTCTTACCATAAGGACAACTTTGTTAAGAGGGTCAAGGTGGAGGAAGGGCAGGGAATAGGAAGATCACAAATGTTTGGGGGCCTCTTTTTTTTTGGCAGGTCTTGGGGCTTGAACTCAGGGCCTGGATGCTAACCCTGATCTTTTTTGTTCAAGGCTAGTGCTGTACCACTTGAGCTACAGCTTTACTCCTGGGTTTTTGGTGGTTGATTGGAGGTAAGAGTCTCACAGCACAGACTTTCCTGTTTGGGCTGGCTTCAAATCCCAATCCTCAGGTCTCAGCCTCCTGAGTAGCTAGTGTTACAGTCGTGGGCGACCAGTGCCTGGCTTTGGGCCTGTCCCCACAGTGGCCTCAGAGATAAGTATTCTCACTCCTTTTCCCACCTATGTCAGCTGAGGGATTACTCAGTGATTGCTTTTCACTTGGCAAGATTTCGTTTTATTTAATTCTCATAAATTTGAAGGGAAAGAGTCTTCCTTGCATGGGGAACAGGAAATGTTTCTTTATCCATTTCTGCCTACCTTAGCCCATCATAGCAAAACAAAGCCTTGCTAAAACTTTAAGAAACATAAATTTCTAGGGAGGATATTATACACATACTTTGTTTAAAAAAGGAAGTTTGAAGAGAATATATATCTTGACAAGGTTAATGTTGCTAGGATTGCTTGATGTCAAGACTCAGTCCCAACTCTCTGTCCCCAAAGGACAAGATGCTGATGATAGAGATGATTTGGTCCTTCCTTCTTCCTTATCTTTTGGCAGTACTGGGCTTTATTCTTAAGAGGTTTATACCTGGTAGGCACTCTACCATTTGAACCACATTACTTACTCCTTTTGCTTTTACTCATTTCTGTGGCAAGAACCAGAGAAGCTGGAAGCAGACTCAAGCTAGCATGAGATCACAGCTGTTAAAAAAACAGGATATAGTTTATATGAGGGAAGGTGTGGCTGACATCATATGAATCAGACGTCAGGTGGTTTACATATGAGGGGAACCCACTGAGTTGGAGCCAGTAAAAGATCTCTAGAGACCTTTGTAAGCACACAAAATGCTGGATGGGCCAGGCGCTGGTGGCTCACGCCTGTAATCCTAGCTACTTGGGTCTAGGATCTGAGGATCATGGTTCAAAGCCAGCCAGGGCAGGAAAGTCCTTGAGACTCTTATCTCCAATAAGCCACCAGAAAATCAGAAGTGGCATTGTGGCTCAAGTGATAGAGTGCTAGCCTTGAGCTGAAGAGCTGAGGGACAGCGCCCAGGCCCAGAGTTCAAGTTCCACCAACAACAAAAAGCTGGGTGGGCTGAGGAGTACATGAGAATTGAGAAGTAGGGATGGGCTTGAAGGCTGGTCTTTCGGGATGCTATGATGAATAGAGAGAGCTGGGATGATGGTACTAAGGACCAGGTAGAGGAAAAGATGATATACCAGAGCCAGTTTTGGGAGCTTGGAATCTTACAGGTAAAGCAGTCCTGTTGATTCAGAAGTTCATGGGGTCAGCGCCAAAGCCCAGAGTTCAAGCCCCACGATCGCCCCCCCCCCCCCCAAAAAAAAAAAGTTCATGGGGTCGAAGCCCAAGGAGTTTGAAATCAAGTGACATGACTAGGAATCTGGAGAGATTACAGGAGAGGATGAGCTAAGACTAGGGTTGGTGTTCACTATCCTTGAAGATGGAGTCTGGTCTGCCATGAGTGGACGATAGAGATGAAAATCAGGGAAAGGGTTGTATGGAAAGTGTACTTCCACTCTCCTCTCCTCTCTCCTTCCTTCCTTTCTTCCTTTTTTCCTCCCTCCCTCTCTTCCTCCCTCCTTTCCTATCTGTCTTTCTCTCTCTTTTCCCCCCTTCTTTTCTGTTTAATAAAATCCAGATTCTAGATGACTGGAAGACAAAAAGCAAACTGATAGCAGCAAACATAAGTGAATTAGGAAAGCTCTCAGAAGCATGTTAGCAGTTTTTAATTTTTAAGAAAACTTTTGCACAGATCTTCTCTGTAAGGACACAAAACTTTGAATGATGTTCATATTTATTTTATAATTTAAATTTTTATGACTAAGCAACTCGGGAAAGTCCCTCAGTACTTGCATTAAGAGATAATGATAATATATGCAACATATATTGCCCAAGAATTTGGCAGCAAATAGTAGGTGCTCAATTATTTATTAATTCCCCTTGTCTTCGGTTTCTGGTTTGTGTGTGTGTGCCAATCCTGGGATTTTAACTTAGAGCCTGGGCACACTGTTCCCTGAGATATTTTTTTTCCTTCAAGGCTAGCATTCTACCACTTGAGCCACAGCTCCATTTTTGGTTTTTTGATAGTTAGTTGGATAAAAGTCTCATGGACTTTTCTGCCCAGGCTAGTTTTGAATCACAATCCTCAGATCTAAGCCTCCTGGGTAGATAAGATTATAGGCATGAGCCATTGGTGCCCAGTTCTATAATCTTTGATGTGGGAGAGGGCCTTCACCAGAATCTACCCTTGCTCACACCCTGATCTTGGATTTCTGGCCTCCAGGGCTGAGAAATACTTGCTCTTTTAAGGCACCCAATCTAAGTTACTTCCGTATAGCAGTCCAGACTGTGGCAAAGCCACAGTACCAACCATAGCAAGTGTACCAAGGCACCAGAAGACTGTGTCAGGGTCAAAAGCTTTGGGAGCTTATCCAAAGCTCCCAAAGTTATGGCTGTCATCTCCAAAGAAAGTAGAGAGCAATGCCATTTGTCACTCTGGGAAGGGGAAGTAGGTTATTTCTCTATGGATTGCCCACCCCCCACTTTCCCTGCCTCCTGCCTTTCATCTCCAGGCCAGACAGACAGGCTGCTGGGAGAGCCTGAAGTCGCTTTCTGTTTTCTTTACTGGCCTATGAAACTAAAAATCTGCTTCCAGCTCTCTGATTCTTATCGCAGAGGTTGATGTGTGTGTTCTTGCAGGCTGTCTGGGTGGTGAGGTTGGCTTTTAATCCTCTCAGAGCTGCTTACATGTGTCCTCTGGTGAAGGCCTGTCAGCCATCTTTTCATGTTGAGTTATTCACTGCCATTAGCCACCACCAACATGGGACCACTGTGCAGCAGAAAGACATTTTTTCCAGAGGCAGAACTTTCCAAACTGGTTTTTGCCTACAAAGCAGGCCTGGAGGGGGACACTCCCGAAGGTGTTTCGTGTTTCTCTGATAGTGGGGAAAAAATAAAGAAGGGTTCTAAATCATACCATCATACAGGGCCTTGGAAAACAACCTGCTTAGACTCCAATTGTTTTCAAGACATGAGAATTAAAGTGTGCAGTATACCTGGGCTTTCTTCAAAGACTTCTTTTTTTTTTTTTTTTTTTTGAGGTTTTTCTTTTTTTTTTTTTTTTTATTGTAAAGCTACTATACAGAGGGTTACAGTTACATGAGTGAGGTTATGAGTACACTTCCTCTTGAACATTGTTACCCCCTCCATTGTTTTCCCCCTACCATCCCCTCCCTCCCTCCCTTCCCCGAGGTTCTTTTTTTTTTTTTTTTTTTTGATTGTG